ATGTGTTTATCCATTTCATGATTCATTATCTGAACTACTGTGCATGCATATCATTACAAAAATAAGAAAATGACATTGATAAAGTAGTAATTAAGGATATGTTTTTTTTTTTTTCCTTAAGGTAAAACCTACAACTTCTTCTGAAAAGTTTATAGTTATTGTCCTCCTCAAACACATTAATCTCTCCACATCAATGAAACATTTCTTTTGTGATGATAAATCTCAAATCTGTAACATTTATCATAATTGGAGAGATAGCTTTACCAAAAAAGGGAAGAAAATGTTATTAGCTCTTTTGGGGTCAGTTTTGGGGTTTTTTTTGGAGGGGAGAGGGGGTGGTTTGTTTTTTGGGTTTTGGGTTTTTTTTTTTGATTGTAGAGGAAAGAAGAATGATGACATCCTGATCAGGCTAATGTAACACATGTAGGTTACAATGACAAGACAGCTTGCTTTAGTCAGCCCATACCAAGCCCATGTGAAGTGAGGTCAGTGACTATTAATCATTTGTCAAAGACTGTGGGCCCTTATCAGCCAATTACAGATACAAGGAACTTTATATTACATCCACAAGTGGCAAAGCTACAAAGGACTTAAACCACAGTACAGTGGTGACACCTTTTATAGATAAAACATAAATCTAGACAAAATGCTGGCCTGAATTGCATCATACTTCCATTTAGCAATTTTAGTAAACACTTTGCAATATCATTGGTTTTTCCTTAAAATTTTAGGGACCTTGTATGCTCCTTAGTTTTAAGAGGTTTCTTTTTTATTCACAGCAAACCCACGGACAGAATCTAATTGAAACACAAAATATCCCATTGAAGAATCAACTGACTTGCATGTACAGAGCAGATGAATCTAGCTTATTTTACAAGTTAGCTACTGGACTGGCTTGAGGATGGTCCTGAATCCTACCACTTCAGAGCAACTGTAACACTCATTTTTCATAGCAAAACCTATGGAGATAATAACTTCCATGGATGCAGGTCAGAGGCTCATGGAGAAGAACAAGACACTGGAAACGGTAGATGAGAGCCTGACAAAATGATATCTCATCGCTTCTTCAGATTCTTGGTGGAATTTGGGGACTGACAGTCTACATCATCAGCTACAGATGGACTCTCGGGATCAGCAAGGAGGTTTAAGACTCCCCTCCTGTCCCCACATTGGGTCATGATCATCCATCAGGTGGGGCAAACTCCAACACATAGGGATGAATGGGTAGGCTACACTATATACTGATGCATACACACACTTTCACATACCAGCCTGGCAAGCATGAGCTTCCAGCAGCGGAGACAGAGGTGGAGCTAACAAGGGAGTAGAGTTCTATTTATTCCTGCTAATTCTGTGCAGGTAACCCTGACCAAGCCCACAGCAGACGCACAGACAATACTTGAAAAGATAATTTTCATTGACTGATATACTAATTAACTCCTGCAGGTTCCAACCAGCCTTGGAAAAGCTGTCAGCCCCACATATATAGAATTGTTTGGGAAGGTTGTTGAATTTAGAGCTGTTAACATATGACACCTGCCAGCCACTAATAGGGACAACAAATTACACTTCAGTTTAACAATTATTTTCATTTGTGAATGAAAAACAGCTTGATCACTCATTTTTTAGTTTGAGACCACTGATCAATAGACTTTCTCGTAAAATGATGCCTGTGTTTTATGTGCAGATCTTATGTTCTTGGCTATAGTCCAAATCAAGCAGACATTTACTGTCACCCAATATCTGTGCCCACAATTCACTATGAGAATACATTTTTTTTTAACATGTAGAGTTAAATGTCTGGGTAAAACCTAACTGAAAATTTGGCTGTGCACATTTTATATAAAATTACTTAAGTAAAATATACTTCTTGTGAAAGGATACCCAGTGAAATGCTTAAGTATTTGTGTCCTACTTTAGTGCGGTTTCTGGGGAACAGCTGTTGGAACTTCAGAGGAAGAAATTTTATTTGGTAGCTTGGGAAGAGTTGAGTAGGATGTCAAGAGAGGATCTAGTGAGGCAATGCTTATAACGCTAGGTCTCAACTTACAAAAAACCCCTCTCAAAGACAGAAAAATCAGCTTTTATCAGAAATAAATTTTCTCAAGAGCATCTGTAGAAGTTCAGAAAATCTATTTATAAAATTAGGCTCAAGTGATCTTTTTCAGAGAGCAGCTCTACATTTTGCAGTTCAGTGTAGCTTAAATTCCTCTAGAATATTTACTTACTTTTAGCATTTCCTTTAATGAAACTTCCAAACCTTCTATGACACACAAATATTTTGGAGGACAAATGCTTACTAAGTAGATGCCAGGTACATAGCAATTTCCAGTCCCTATACTGGAAGAAGATAGTTACAGCTTCCTATTGGGAGAGAAGAGAGCAATTCTGAAGTTCAGCTAGGGCCATACAGTACATCAGTCAGGGGGAAGTGCATAGCTAAGGCTTGAAACACTGAACATCATCTTGCTTATCTGGCTCTGTAACCTCTGCAGTCAGCCTGTCTCCTTTCATTAACTGGTTCTACACCTTGCAAAGCAGCATGATGTGGAGGTGATTTGTATTGCAGTAGCAATATTCTTGGCAGACTTATGACCTTTACCCAGTGGAACCAATGGAAAATAAGTCTCGCTGGGTCTTTTTATTGACTGCATTTCCATTATCTTCACAGGTACTTTCTTTCCTGGCTTGTTCTTTTATCTTATTATGGACAGAAGCTACATTTACTGGACAATAGCTTCCACATTGCTCTCTTTTCATTTCCCAGAAAATATCACTACTATCACTTTTCTCAAGTTACTTGAGACCTGTCAAATTCTCTATCACTCTTTACAACAAACTATTTGTTGTTTCAGTAAGTGCATCATGTAACTGTCTCCATGCCATGGCATTTGTACCCGCTCATCTACATAGGATATATCAATTTTTCAAATATTCTGTGTGTTCCCCTACATAGCTACAGTAGGCTTACAAAGACTTAAGACATTTTCCAGTTGCTCACACATTACTTGTTAAAACTGGCTTTAAAAACTGTTTAGGAACTAAGTTACAGAATTACCATTAATTATATCTCCCTCTCATTTAGGTACACACCCTCTGTGAAAAACATTAGAGAGTTTCCATTATAAATGAAAGGTAATGTGAATAATGGTATTCAAGTCACATCATCGCCAGTTTTTATATCATGATGCAAACTGACCTCATAATTTTGTCATCTTCTGTATTTACAGCCTAATAATGCTTTTCTGGCAGTTCACAAGGGCTACTGAATTTATGAGGCACTTGCAAGTCAGGTATTTTACAAATACTTTGCCTGCATTTCTCAAAAATGATTTCTAGAGAAATTGAAGTCTACTGTGTGTACTGGATTAAAATAGCATAAGAACTAAGTCATAATTTATACTATTTTATTTTAAATTTTATTATATGGAAATACAACTTTTCATTGTTGATCATATTAACTTGATATGATGAAATGCTTTATTTTTACAGATAATGGTGTTTATTCTGTTTTTCAGTATATAAAATGTACCGAGTACCAAATTGCTTTAGCACATGCATAAAAATAACTTAATAAAACCTGACTCAACCAATGTATGGGCAAAAAGAAGACAAACAATGTAGCTTGCACTAAAATATAGGCAATTCTAATGCCATCGGAATTATGAAAGCAATTCTGGAATAAAGAGTCCAAAGTGTCAGTCACAAGGTACCTGATATCTTACTCTGTGGACTATTGTCAAGTGTCTCCGTCCACTTCATCCATTGTAACAATCCATAAGGATAGAGATAGTTCCTTTGATAAGCAGCACCTAAGGCAGTGAGGTTTTCTAGACCAACATAAGGGAACAGGAATCCAGGACTGCACTTTAACTCCAGTAATATATTGTGTACGCTAGGAAACATATGGCTCCATGTTGCAATAACTGATGCATCTGGGTGAACTTGCACAGCAAGTTTCATAGTGTTCACTTCATAAAATCTAACAAGAAGATTTTAAATCCATAAAAATGTGGATGGCAAGTGAGACAAGTGACTGAAAACATCTGTGTGATTATCAGGAGAAATGCATATTATCCTGCACAACTGACTGGCAGTGTGCTATCATAAAACATTTCAGACTGTTGATAAAAGATAAGGAAGTTGTATCTGAAATGTCCTCTCCCCCTATCCTTCCCAACACATGTGCGTTGTCCAGTTAAAACTTGGACAAGCAAAATCCACACTGACACCAAGTGAAAGTGAAATAGGACTGCTTTTTCAAATAAGTACACCTCTTGTTCAGGCTGTTAAAAAATTGACAAAGTGATGTTAGGGTTTCACAGGTACAAGGCAGTTCTGAAACTGGACAATTAATTTTGATTGTCTCAGTTTGATTATTTCTCTCTAGCCACCCTCTCCCCTTGTTTTCATCTCACCTTATATTAAAGTCACAGGGATTTTGTTGCTGATTCCAAACAAAACAGATCAAGCAAAATCCTTGACAACCAAAATATGTTGTAGACAGGATCCCTTTGAACTATCCCACAGTGTTGTAACACCCTCTCCTGACTAGGCTATCTATTGAAAAAACTGTCTAAATAAGTAACATTAAAATCTTTTGTAACAAATAGATTCCCTGACACCTACAGTCACATACAGAATTCTACTTCTAAGCTTTCAAGGCAGAGAGGGAGAGAGGGAGAAAGAAATAGGTGAGAGGGTATGTATGTCATATGAGGAAGATTTGCTGAATCACGCATCAAAGCAGATGTAGGAGCAAGGCCTATGTTAGTTACTTTAAATACACAGTGGTACATCCAAAACATGCAGAATTCAGTTCAGTGTTCCAGGGCAATGCAGACATAGTGCAGACAATGACTAAAACGAGTAATAGTAAAGCCCTCTGAGAGGAGGTTGCAATTGAAAACAGATTTAAGATTAAATCAAAGAATGTCACATTTAATATTCAGAACACTCTAACTGAATCCTTACTGCCTGGGCTATAAATGGAATCTTACCGTGGGTTGGAATGAGAAAGTGGGCTCATTTCTTTCTGATAGTGATGCTCCTGACTGACGGGCTATGGAAAACAAAAAATAATAGTGAGAAAATAAATTTGCAAATATTCTTTCAGAATGTTCAGAAGTGTGTAAGAGATCTTTTATGAGCATACACATTTGCAGCTTCTGATATTAGAACTTTACAGTCTTTTTTCTTACCTGTGAAATTTAAATGGATATTCAGATCCTAACTGTGCAAAAGTACAACTTAACAGATGATTCTGGTCTGGGTGGAAATACATATGAATTAAAGAGTCAGCCACATGGTCATCTCTCTACTGCCCGTGAGAGTGTTAGGACAGAGTCAGGACACTTCAGAGAAGGAAGGGTGGCAAAGTCTTGTCTGATAGAAAAGTCTGGACTGTACGTGTATAGGAAGCATGGTGCGGGAACTCTTAGTAGGACCTGTGCAGAAACAACCACTCTTAAGACTAGACAACACTGAGCCAGAGCTAATAGGGCTGGCAGGCATGGTTCCTCTCTCCTCAGAAGAACCATTAACAGTAATCTTAGCAGTCCTAAACAAAGTTTGCTGAAGCACATATGATTCTCTATGGCACTGCCAATTTGAAACCTGGATTAAGCTGTTCATGAATAGCTAATGGTGGACTGTATGAATATTCATACAAAAGATGATCATTTTCCACAGCCTTCAAATCTTACCTACCCATTGTAAGAATGTGCCCCAAAGGTTTCAAACTACATTTCGTTTATGGCATTAAAATCAGTTATTTCCAAGAAAGATCAATATTCATAAACTGGTATAAAAATTCAAGAATTCTAAAATTCAGAAATACATTTTCTCTCAGTATATATGTAGTGCTTCCAGAAGAGACCCCCCTGCCATTACCACGCACCATAAAAGCAGTTCTAAACAAATCACAGAAGCAAATGCAATAGAAGTGAAAATACAAGCATTCATTAAAAATACTTGTACAATTTAGTACATGAAATGCTAAAAATAAATACTAAGCATTATGAAAGCGATTGCTTTTTTTACAGAAATCAATACAAAAATGAGTATGTTCTCATGGTTTCAGGAAGTAGGGAGGGATGTTGTAAAATATATGTTCAGGATGAATGACATCCTAATTACTGCCAAATATGAGTCACTGGCTGGTGGTGGATAGTACAATTCCCAAATGATGGCTAGTGGAAGACTGAGGATGAGACAGAAAGTGAATTAGTCAGTCTATGGAACCAGAATATCTGTCTAAATAATTTTTAGTCTCATTTCATAGTAAAGAATAGTCTGCCTCAGTTTTGCAATTTGACTTGATGTGAACAGATCCCTCCAGGGGTTGTCAAACTGAGCTCTCGGAATAATTCTGGGTTTAAATATCACTCCTCTTGTCCGTCAGACTTCAGTTCTGCCAGACCATTTTTGTGTTAAGTGGCTTTCTTTTCTGAAACATCACAAATGAGGCCAGAAAACCTTCCACAATTTAGGTATGTATCTGGAAGTACTCTTTCAAATATTTTGCAGATCAAGGCTTATGTGACTGAATTTATATTTAGGAAGTTGCTTGGGGAACAAATAATCTTTCTTCTCTGTGAGTACTCCTTACTCGAAAGACAGGTCTTAGTGGTGAGCATGTTTTGGAGTCTGCTAATAGAGCATTATACTGCTACAAGCTTCTAGGCTGTATCAGTGAGCAATCCAGGAGAATCTTCCTTCTCCTTTGCATTTCTGACTGAGAATCAGAGACCATATGCAATAAGATATCCTGAAAGCTCTTATATATGATCTGTCTCCAGAATGTCAGTGTTATATAGGAAGTGGTGTCTGAAGTGTGGTAACAGCTATCCAAGAAGCTGAATGGGCCAATTCCCTGACAGGGCAGGAAGGTCTTACTGGATCCCTAGAATAAAGCAAGGCATTTAAGCAGAAATATTTTGTAACCGTTGCAATTTTTCTTGGATAATGTGCGTATGTGTGGGTATAAACTTCACATTATACTCTGCAATATATACAACTGTGTCTTTCATATTGTTGCAAAGCTAATATGGAATTTCATAGACCTTAAGATTTAAGAAATCATTCAGGTAAGACACGGTCAAATGAAGTCTTTCAAAATACTTAGTTCTGCATACACATATTATTCATTTGGAACTGTGCCCCACACACATTTTACAAGGGTTTACAATTCTCCTTCGAAGTAAATCCATTTTAAAATAGAAGTTTTTCATATTTATAACTGATAGCTATGCTGGGTAATGTATAATATTCAAAGCTATTTTATTCCTTTTTGGCTGTCATAGTTTACAGCAGCTGCTAAACAACTTACATTTCAACGATTTCTACTGACAGCATATATTCAGTTCTTGGTAAACTATCATAAAAATACAGTTTTAGTATATCTGTTCTATAGTGGTTTAAGGACATCTGTTCTAACTGCAACTTAGTAATATGATTGATCTATGTGCCTTTACATTCAGAAGGGTTTCTTAGATTCATTACAGTCAGTAACATGAAAATTTTCAATGAATCTGGAAATCAGACTAACAATGGCAAGTAATGAAAAAAATAAACTCACTGAAAATGTGTTTTATATATAAAATATTACATTGATACGTAAGTTCACTATCTAACATAATTATATCCTGCCCTGCCTTGCAAAACATCATAGGTATTTCAAAATGAAAGATACACAAAAAGCTGCCTTCTGGTGGTGCTGTTGCCATAGTTTCCACTAAAGGACAAAAATGTATAAAATGAACGAAAATTTGGAATAAAAATACTCCTTACTTATCTTTGAAGAACATAAGAGAAAGCAATAGATACTAGCGATTTAAATAATCAGAAAGATACAACGTGGAAACACATGTAAGCATGAAAGTTTAATCATGACAAGAATTTCAAGCTGTTCTTAATTTCTCAAACTACAATGTGAGGATTATTTCTATTTCTTTTCTATATAGTGCACTGCTAAAATAATTTGCCTATGCAACTGGAAGATGGCTACAGATACATATAAACTTTTCTGCAGTTTGTACATCTGATTTTGGAAAGATTGATCATTTGGCAAATTGTCTTGACTCAACTCAAATGATGGTGGTACTAAAGATCAGTGATATAAAACCAAATTTGCTCTTATTCTACTAATATTTTTTACATAATATATGTAAGGAATAGATATATACATAAGGAACACTTCTTGATAAAAACTGGATGCTGAAAAAACAATGACATTACTCAGGCTGGGGGATGAAGGCATTGAGAGCAGCCCTGCGGAGAAGGACTCGGGGGTACTGGTGGATGAAAAGCTGGATGTGAGGTGGTAATGTGCACTCACAGCCCAGAAAGCCAACCATATACTGGGCTGCATCAAAAGAAGCGTGGCCAGCAAGTCAAGGGAGGTGATTCTGTCCCTCTGCTCCGCTCTGGCCCTACCTGGAATACTGCGTCCAGCTCTGGAGTCCTCAGCACAGGGAAGACATGGACCTGTTGGATTGGGTCCAGAAGAGAGCCACAAAAATGATCAGAGGGATGGAGCACCTCTCATATGAAGAAAGACTGAGAGAGTTGGGTTGTTCAGCCTGGAGAAAAGAAGGCTGCAGGGAGACCTCACTGCAGCCTTTCAGTACTTTAAGGGGGCCTGTAAGAAAGATGGGGACAAACTTAGCAGGGTCTGTTGTGATAGGACAAGGGGTAATGGTTTTAAACTAAAAGAGGGTAGATTTAGACTAGATATAAGGAAGAAAATTTTTTACAATGAGGGTGGTGAAACACTGCAACAGGTTGCCCAGAGAGGTGGTAGATGCCCCATCCCTGGACACATTCAAGGTCAGGTTGGATGGGGCTCTGAGCAACCTCATCTACTTGAAGATGTCCCTGCTCACTGCAAGGGGGGTGGACTAGATGACCTTTAAAGGTCCCTTCCAACCCAAATTATTCTATGATTCTATGATTTTAGGTCTTAAAGCAAGACCATGCATGACAGAAGACTGAAATCTAGGAGGAGCAACCTTTAAACGTGTTCTAATCACTCCAACTAGGCTTTATTTTGATCTCTCAGTTATGTAGACTACCTATGCATGCAGTAACACATTTACTGCACATGTGAATGCTATGTGCGGGGATTCACTGGAAACATCTATATGAAATTATCTGACAGACTTATAGATTTGAACATAAGAGGGAAGAATGAGATCAACTCAGGATATGTATATCAGAGGCTATTAAACCATAGATCACCAACAAAAACCACTGAACATCATCATATATAGAACTGAATGAATCATGAAGTAGGTCCCTCTGAATATACTCTACTCACAGATAATTCCCTGCTGACTGCTTTTGATATTTGTCAGTTGCCCAGTACCAAATTCATTCAAGGTATGCTTTATCAATATTGTATGCTGCTCATTTTTAAACAATTATGTACAATGGTCTTAGCATGTTGCATCTAAGCAGTTTCCTTATCAATTGTAACTTTAGCAATAAAATTAGATTTTTTGAACGGGACATATTTTCTGTAAAACAATCTTGACTATCATTAACCATATTACAACCTTTAAAGCTCTTAACTGAATCCCACACCAGATTTTTCATTATTTTGACAATGAGATTGGACTAACTGGCCTACATTAACTTAACTTTAACAATACTGGCATCACTACTCTCAAAGTCTTCTGAAATGCATATCAAAATATGCTAAAATTTAACACCAGCATACTAAAATGCCCCCAACTACTCTTTTAAAAGCTTCTGTGCTAAAATGACTTGGGGTCATTAAATAATCACCTTCCCTAATAAATGTTGTTTATAACCTTCTTAGACACTAAAGGTCTAGAAAATGAATTATCACTCTCACATGAATACTCTGCATTTTTCCAAATATTGGAACACAATTACCTCAAGCAGTGTTAAACACAGAAGTCCACACTCCAGAAACTTATACCACATCTATGAATAGCTGGTGCTGTGGCAGCTATCTCAGAAAGGAAAATTTGAGGTGAATCAATAGATACTGTAGACTAACTGATATTGTACTGGTACAGAGAGTCCCTTTGCATAAAGGCAGAGGTATATGGGTAGGGAAGACCATGGAAGCTGAAGTCTTTGTTGTTGCAAGGGACTAAGCGATTAGTCCTTATATGAGAAAGATTAGGTTTGCTTTCTAAATTAATGAGATGGCTGTTCTCTTTGTTTGAGCTCCATTTATCCAGTCTTGCAGATTTACACCACGTTTGAGTCTATTTAGTGAGTACTGAGAAAATGCATTGGAGATATGATGAAATCAACTAAATGTGTAATGATGTATCTCAAATAGTTAAAACTAACTAATATTTCTTTGATATCCTGCAAAATATTACTCTGTAAACCAAGTTCTTATTCATACAATTACCCACTTATTGATACATCTCTTCTAATTTGAAACCTTCATTTACCAGCGTACCACAAAGTTCCAGTGCTGTGTTGAGCATTCACTATGGAAGACTGGTACTACAGGTCTCTACTTGGGCCCTATAGATGCCTGAAGGTAATCTTCACCTAAAATTTTAGAGGATTTACTCTACAATAGTTTATATTGGGGCAACACAGCAGTGTTTACTCTTCTAACGTTGGATCTGCCTCTGAGAGTTGTGTTGTGTGCTTTACTTAAGCCACATTCATTGTTTATTATTGTTTCACCTATAATAAAATAAGAACTATGTTGCTGAGATATAAGTGGAGTATGGGGTTATCTAGTTTTACAGCAGCTCCTGCAAGTACCTTTATATAGTTGCTGAAATGTTATTCTGTGATTTCACACATTCAATACTCTTCCGTGGACTGTAACAAACACTCCTCTGCTTCTTATAACAGTACCCTGTCACACAGTGCAGCTGTGCGTGATTTTGTACCACTTTGTACCAGGACAAGTAATGATACAAGGTGTAAAAAAAAGAAGGATCACATACTAAGTGCTCAGAACTACTGCAGCTTTTTGCCGCTGTTCTCCTGCTTCAGTCCTTTAAACAGTTAGCTTTTCAGTAATGAGACTTTATCATTGTAAGAAGCAATTATTTTCCATTACTCACACTGTAATGCAGTTGCTGACTGGTATATCTGGGTTTCATTCATTTTGGAACTATTTTTAAGTTCTATATCACACACCTGCACATTGTCAGCCACTACTGTGGCAAGCTGTACAGCCTACATGATTCTTCAGGATTCTAGGAAAGAATATATAATAGATTTGCTCTTTGTCCATGGTGGTACTACAGAACCTGCTGGAAGTGCATGTGTTTTGGTTGCGTGTTTTACTTGATAAATTCTAAAAACGTTTGGTAATGATAACTTAAATTTCAAATCTACTCAAAGAAATGTTAATATTCAAGACCCCTGAGTCTCAGAATTGATAGAAACTATACAGAGAAAATACTGTGGGTTTAGACTTACTGGTGGGAAACCAGAGTTCCAGGTTGCTGTATCATCACTGCTTGTACTCATGCTAACGTTGCAGTTGTCTATCTGTGATGCGCTCAGCCCATGTGAGATCCCAGTATCCTGTAATTCTTCATTTTGTTGTCTCTTCATGCTAGCCAGCATCTGTAGTTCAGATGAACTCAGTCTATCTGACTGATAGTTTTTCCAGTCATACTCCTACGAAATAAAATGGGAAAGTCAACAATATAGACAACAATTCCAATCATGGAACAGAATATATGAGTGAAACAGATACCTTGGAGAAGCTCTTGTGGAATCTTCAAGAAGCTACAATACTAAAAGAGAAACAATGTTTACTAGAAAAGATTAGTTAACAGATTTCTGTTCAGCTATGAAGATCAAGCATATTTACACATAATTACAGGAAGGAAGAACACCACAAACACTGTTATGGACTTCAGCTTGGATCCAGGGTGTTTGGTGAAGTTGCTGTTCCACTGCAATTAAAAACAGAAGATAAAAGCAGGTGTTCAGAAGCTCAAAAATCCAGCAGCTAAAATTAAGCATTAAATACAAATCTTGAAATAAACTCAATCACACAGTTATCATAGTATCATAAACACCATCAACATAACATTTAGTTATTTGTCAAGCACAGCATAAAATTTCTCTGGAAAGCTACATGTCAGCACTAAATTTTAAAAGTTATTTTGGTAACTTGCTAGTGTATACGTTTTAAAATAAACATCACTGTATTTTCATTTTTCTTTATACTCACTGGTTGAATTGTTAATGTAACTCTAATTGTTATAGCAAACTTGATCCACAGGCCAAAAGCTAAAAACATGTATTAACTATTTTGCAGTTCATACTTAATGCCTCACACAAAACCTCATGATAAGGTTGTTTAAGTTCACCCAACCTGCTGTGGCATCACCTTTGTTTAAAGGACTCCTTTAAGAAAAACTTCCCCTTTTTTAAAGGGTCCACATAGATTGCTGTTTCACAAAGGAACAGCTCTAATACTTGAGGCCTCTAGTTTTGGTTCTGAATGGAATTACAAAGTATTTCTGCTTGAAAAGTGAATCCAAGTAGTGACGAGGACTTCAGAGGATTTAGATCACTGGAATATGGCCAGTGGGTTGCAAGACACTACGTAACAGTATCCCAAAGAGGGACAGTGCTTTGATTCTAGTGAAGAGAATGGGGCTTTTAGACCAGGAGTTTATCATATTCCTGGCAGAAGGGGCAATCTCACAGTCTGTGAGGAGGTGTGGTAGGCACAGGGTGCTGTGTGGAGATACAGGGTAACTGAAGACCTCAAGAACACATGCAAGTCAGCAGTACTAGTGATATGAACATTGCTAGCTTTTCCTGCTATGAAATCCAGTGTGTAATGTTTCAGCGTGTCTTCTGGGGGTATAAAAGTCACCTTACCACCAGAAGACACACTGAAATATTACATGCTGGAATTATTACTACAACCTCCTCTGCTTTATTCCTATGTATACAAGATGCATATCTAAGTCTTCTCTGTGAATTATAATCATAAACTGGTCACACCCGAGACACAGGAAAACTTGAACTGCAGCTTTATCTTAGTAACAGAAATAGTACAGCAATGTTCAATACCTTCAGGTTATGATACCACACAAACACGACATTTGCTTTTAAAAACATTCATGAATATATGCAAGCGATTAATAAAATATTATATATGTTCAGTTATTCAGCTCCACAAAGGTATGATGTAAACAGCCCACAAAAGACACTATACATTGGACATTGATTTCCTTATTATTAGGAAATCATGCAAAAAGATATGTATATATCCTAGATATTCATGTATATTGCTTAGTACTTCACATGCAAAGTGCTCACTTTCATGAGAAAGATTATATGACAACACTGCTGAAAAAGGAAGTTATTTTCAGTGACACAGTACTTTCTCCTGTTTTAGGGAGTTCCATATACCTTAATAAAACTGTATTTTCTAGGAGTCAGAAAAGCGTTATTATCTGTCTGATCCCCTTTCCTGCCAGCTTTTTTTGTCCTTGGGATCAGAGCAAAGCCAGATAATGAAGGATACTACATTACTTATTTCCCCTCCAGAAGTTTAACTGGGGATACGCTCATAGATTAATTCACAGTGCTGAACTCCAAGTATAGGATGTGCAATACAATGCACACTGGACGGGAATTCTGGATCAATGACAGATGGAGAAACTCTTTCTTTTTAATAATACATGTAATGGCATCATGCAATGAACAGAACCTCGATTTCACCTCAAGCTCTAGAATATTTTATTGGCTAAAATAGTTTTAGAATAAAGATATGCAGCATATTTTTATTTACTCACAGGTGCCATAAAAGAAATCAACAGTTATTATCTCAATATTATGTAAAATAATACTTCCCATTTTAATTCTAGTTAAGAAATTAAGTATCATTCAATAAGGTTGCTGCCTAACATTAAGTTTTTGGGAGTAGCAACTCTGTCATATATTTTTGATGTTTCATTCTGACTACCATGATATTAGATTTCACTTAAAGCCATCTCTTGCAAATAACTGGTCAAAAAGAAAATTAGCACTGAAATAACAAAGTAAACCACCTTTGATGGGAAATGTGCCTGCAAGCTGACAATCAGCAGGTAAATATATCACATAAAACAGGATTTATGACTGAAGGGCACTCACATGGAAATAGCTGCATATGCAAGTCTGCAAATCTTTGTAAAAAGACAATTAATTCTAAAGCCTATTGCAAACATTTTTTATGTTTTACTATGTATCTCAAATTCTTAAGTCAAATGCCTTTGCAAAGATTTTTCCTGTGGAATCACCTCAAGCACTCAGAGGCTACTTTTTGGCACAGATAAATGTAGTCTGCCATTTTGTACAAGGTATAAGAAGATGACAGAAGCTGTTAGCACAGCTGCCACCCCTTTTTTAGCTCTGGCTTTTGAGCCCCAAGCTTCATCCTGAATAGTGTGATTATTACTACCATTTTTAATCCTAAAATAATGTGATGTTTTCTCTAGACCCTTACTGAACGTATGTTATTAGCTCAGTTACTATTAGTTATTTGTCCATTTCATACGAAGCTTGCTATGTTACGTCTGGAAAGTCTGCTTTGCTCTGATGTATTAGTATTCTACCAGATCTACAGCTGCTATAACTTTTATTGATCTTACTGAAGATGCTGATTTCCTGTTAATTTTCTATATTGAAGCTTTCTGCATTTATTTGATTACTGTAAGAGAAGCTTCAGCTTATCTTTCTTACCTCACGTAAGAAGCAATTGGCATGCAGTCATTAAAATGACAGCATGAACTAGTGCTATGCACAATAAAAGCACTAAGCATTGAAAGAACATTTTTCTCATTCTCTTTTTAATAAAGGCAAAACATTGCCCAAACCTGCTTGTCTTTTCCTTTACATCTATGAAGAAAGATGCATAGATTTTTTGAATTTTTACAAAACAATTCAAAACATTTGTTCCCCCCCCCCCCTTATTTCAAATGTCATTCTGTTTTCTTTTCTTGTAATGGTCTCACTCTCGAACTACTATACTCAGAAAGGAGAATAGATGTCATGACAATTTTCAGTGTTAATAAAGAGGTTATAAAGGAGAAGTAGTTTGGACTATTTATTCTGTAGCTTCAGATGACTACTACAAAAAAGCTTCTTTATAAATTTTACATTGTCTTAGCCAATTTTCAAAGAGAGAATTTGAAAACTGAATTTGAAATTAAGCTCACTTTGTAATTTAGGAGAAACTTTTGATGTAAGAAGTAATTTTGAGATATTCGTAAATTTGTCTAAATATTTCATTTAGTAATTAAAAGCTTGTCTTTTTGCATATCCTCCTCTTATGAGAAAGTATTCTTATTAAGCTCTTAAAACTTTTGCTAGATTGACAAAACCTGTTGCTTAAAGGATCTTTTTCATATATAATGACATTTACATTCTTCTAGGTTCCAATGATTTATTCAGAATTGTTTGAATGTAGTTATACGTGCAGAAAACTTTAATTACCAGCTATCTACATGCTTGCAATATTACCCAGAGGGCTGTGCTTCTTTCTTAATTAAAAATATTTGAACTTAATAATAGAGAACTCTATTAAAACATGAATAAAACATTGCAAGCAACCAGGTCCTTAAAGCGTATTAAGTAGTTAAGCAAATCGATTGCAGGAAGAGTTGGTTAAGCATTTTTTTTACCAGTCCTCCATATGAGCAGATTAGAAGACGCTACTTCTCTGTAAACTCTCACTCTAACACCCTTTCATACAAAACTATCCTTTCATACATAATTCTTAAAACAATGAACAGTGTTTCAAAAGAGAAATAAAATAATTACATGCCCACAGCCAACAAAAAACCTCCAGTGTTGTCTCACTGTATTTAACAATATTACATGTCACCACTTCTTTTCTTGAAACTTGTGGGGACCTAGAATACTAGTTTCTTCCTGCAAAACTGCTCCAGCAGATACAAAAAAACCTTTACATATGTATGTGGTCAGAAAAAGGCCTCATTCAAATAGCTTTTTATACTAATTTTAAAATTATTGGAAATGTAATTAATTAAAAAAAATATATATTTGACTTTATTCTATATAAGTGCTAGGTGAACATACCTTCTAAGATAAACAACCACTGTTTAAAAGGCAGTCAGTGGCACTCAAATCTGGCTTCAAATTTGAACATGGCACAGTACAAAAAGAAGTATCAAAGAACTCCAAGGAAAGGCTTCTGGATGGGAAAATTTTATTACTTGCTAATCTGCTAAATCTGCCAAATACTTTCATCTTATATTTTGTAGCAATAAAACAAAGTCTGTAACTCCTGAGTTTCTATACATTGATAACAGGCTTTGTCCTTGCAAAAACATACTTACAAACAACAAATTACATGTGCAATACATTTACAGCTACAAGTGCAGTGTGCTAATAACGCTATCATCTAATTTAGTAATCAGCATTTTATCAAGCAAAGGAAAAATGACAGCTCTTCTCCTTCATCTTTTAAAATAAAATATCACAAAACAATTGTAAAATATACCTAACGCTTCAAAAACTTAATTGCAGTCCACCTAGGCAGTCTATATTTAGCTATATTCTACAGGACAAAGTTGATCACCGCATTAACCACTGATAACATCTTTTAGGAAAGCAATCAACATATTTCATTTGTTATGGACAAATAGATTACAGTTATGATTAGTAATAAACATAGTTGAATTTTAAGTGGAACAATTTTCCAAAACTGAAAAGGATCAGGAAACAAGGGAGGAATACGTTTAATTACAAAAATGTGAATAGTTACTGGAAACTAGAAAAAATAAATTCCTATATATAAAACCAGGAGGGAAAGGGAACATAAAATGTAAACAAATTTTATTATACCCTTACAGACAGATACATGGATATTAGCACAGCTAAGAAACAGAGAATCAGATTATCAGTATCAACTGGGGTTTTCCTATCACTAAAAATTACAGAAACATTATCTCACTTCTTCCCAAATACAAAAGACCACATACATTGCATTCTTCCACATTTTCTACATCAATAGGGGCAATTCTAATATCTTTTCCAGATAATAAATACATAAAACATATGCTGCCATTGGTAGGATTTTCTCTGTTTTTGAAATATTTTTTTTCTTTTTATTGTCCAAGATCAGCAGCCACTGGTATTTTTCATCACCATAAGGTCTCAGCACTGCTTCTGATTTTCAGCTGCATTATTATATTTCATTCCCCTTGCTTCCCCCTAATGTGCTTCCTTCCCAAAGGAAACCAGTCTCCACACCCTTCATGGAAAAGGATGTTCTGTTTTTATCAGGAAAAGTGCAAGGCCTTTACACAACCCAATAACCTACTTGCAGAATACAGGAAGAGATTTCTAGAACACTCAGAGAGACTATCTCACAGGATTATGAGATACATAAACCCCAACCCCTACACCAGTACTAAAAGAGACTTGTTTCCCAAAAAACACTGAAGCACCAGTGGCATGGCAGTATGTGCATTTCCCTACCATAGATACACAGAAAACCTGAACATATGCTTTCCTAGACACTGTTGTTTAATGTGATGCCCAGTTTGGATTGCTCTTTCTAGCCCAACGCCCAGATTTCTATATCCACCATTAGCTGCAGCGTGGTCCATCCTCAGCAGCCATAGCAGCTAAAAGCAGATAGGTAGAACCGTTCAGCACAATGACCCTGCCCGAGCAGTAGCAGCCTTGCCCCATGGAAGTAGTCGCTCCTGCTTCCCCTTTCACAGATGCTGTCAAATCAGATAACTAAAATTAACCGTATCAACAAGAAACAGAATCGCTACAGACTAAAATTCCCATAGCAGAATGACAGCACATCCCCCTGACTGGAATGGTGACTGCAGTATCCTATAGCAGATGAGACAAGCTACAAGGACAGAAAACAGAATAATGACGGAAGACGGCCATTTCCTTCATGCAAACAAGGTATGTCATGTTGCAAGACATTACTGTAGGCAAAGTTTTCCAAAGAATACATAACTTCAAAGCCACAAAAAAAGAGAAGTGTCTACTCTTTTGGTCCCCAGCAGTGTGCAATACTTAGTTCAAGATACTACTGTCCAAAAACCACTCTTACATTTATGATCACGCAGTAGTTAGATTCAACATCCCTGGGTAAAAATGACAAAAAAATTGACAAAACAGCAATCTTGGGACTACATACCATAAAACTCCTTGACCTGTAGAAGAGAGAATTGTGGGGGAATATGATATACAGCCATCAAATAGTAAGTGGTACAGGTAGGAATAATAATTACAAAAAAAATTTTACCCACTGTTTTTTATAACAAACACAAGAATGAGAAAGCACCAGGAATGAGACTGTGCATTCAAAACAAACAAACAAAAGAGATAAATATTTTTTCCCACAAATAGCAGTTAAACTCTGAAATTCACTGTCACAAGGCAAAGGCCATACAGGTACAAAAAGCAACTACACAAATCTGTGGAAAAAAATTCTATCACCAGTTATTTACCACGAAGATAACACCTTTCACTGAAGAAATTGCTAAGTTATGGACTGCTGGAAGGAAGCCTGCAGGGCATGCTGGCGAGGTATTGCTGGATGCTTGCTCTGTCCTTGCCCTGTCTTTTTTCCCTAGCTATCTATGACTGACCGCTGCTGGACAGAAGATGCTGGCTATGTAAGTCTTTGGTCTCACAGGGTATTAGCTGACGTCTGAATAAAGATCTCTGAAGCCTGAGGAAGAAGTTTGGCCTGTTCTGCTCTCAGATGCTCAGGAATAAATCTAATCTACTCATAACAAATTTAGACAAGAGGTCACACATTAAGAGATATGGATCTGCAGTAATTCTAAGCCCAAAAGAATTCTATCCAAAAACATGGAACACTAACATAGTGATTTGTGATTTACAGAATACACTTGACTCTTAAGCTCCAGTTCCTGATTCAAAGCACAGTTCAAAGCACATCATTATAAGCTGAAAAGGCAAGACTTAGCTATTAGGAAATATTTAAGAACATAATGAACTTCATACAAACTTGTTCTTCGAATCACTGCATGTTTCCATAAGGAGACTCCAGGAAGAAAAAACTAGGAATAAATCAACACTTCAGTGAATGTAACAATTCCTTTAGTAGCCTGGCAATTTAGCCTATGACACAGCCTTACTGTTGGCCCTCAATCACATAATTTATTATTTTTCAGGGCTGTTGCAGAGAGATTATGAAGTACCTAGATTAATGCTCTTTCTATGGTCACTCTTTAATATACCAATTCAAAAGTCTGTAAATTTTCTTTTGTAATCTTTAAGACCAAAACTACTAACTCACGTATTTCCAAAATGTGAGTTGCTCAATGACACCTCTTTTTACCTATAAACCTCTGTGATTTCTGTTTTATTTGGAGTACTGTTTTGTGCGCCACCAAATACTACAAAATCAACTTTCAACAGACCGAGCTCAGTAAATACTGTTATGATGAAACCAGAATACATCTGGATGAAAGACGTATTATTTCTCACTTTGTGCAAATGGGTCTATCTAATATAGCTTCTCTAGACAATCTAATAATTCAGTATCAAAGTAAAAATCACTTACGCAAGTCTGTGTTGTCAGGCATGAATTTTCTCTGGAGATTTTCTTGAGAGACTTTTTACTGACAGATCTTTTTAACTGACCGGAAACTCCTTCATATCTTTCAGATCCATTTGGAATTACTTTAAAGAATTCAGTTTTACTTGCAGTTGGAGAAAGAGAAAGGGTAGGCTTTAAGCTTCCCTGAGAGCTAACAGAATCTGGTTTTCTCACAGTGGAACTCTGTGGTTTTGATAAGATGGTGTCTTTGAGGTTATGTTTGCTTTGTCTCTTGTTCTTCCAGCATGCATTTCTCCATGACATACTCTTTACTGGGATCTCTTTAAAAATTGCTGAATCAGATGTTCCTTGCCTGCTGTGGCTGATCTCAAGGTTCTCAGTATCCTGGATGAATTCACTGTTGTCATCCTAAATTTAGGAAACAAAGCAAGAGCGATTCCCTCTCATCATCACACAATACAGTTTTACATAACCTTAACATTTCAAAATGGCTCTTTAATCTCTGCTGCCTAATTCTAAATTTGCAAGGATTCTGAAAACCAGCTGCTCTTCCTGGCAACTACAATGAGTATAGCATAAACATATTCTTACATCTCGAGCAGTGAAAAGTACAAAGTAGAAAGAGGAGGAGAGGGAGACAAGATTACACTATTCAAAACGTCCGCCCAAATTTAGAATGCTGGTAACCTCCCAAACCTGTGTGTTACATGGTAATCATAATTTCAATAAAATTTAATACAACTCTAAACCAAAAGCAAGCAAAAAGTCCATGATAATGATGTCTTTCCACTGAATTATTAATGTTCCATATTTTTACATTGCATCTGCAACTTCAACCTAGAAGGACTAACTCCTGCTGAAACTACTTTGCTCACCTCTGGCAATATTCAGTACCATTTGAATATCATTTAAGAATTTTTTAGGTTAGTTTGTTAACCTTATATTCATGCTTCTAACAACATCTCTGCAAAATATTCCATGAATCAAGTGTATGATCCCATCTCAACAACAAACAGGAAGTCTGAACACATGGAAAGAAAAACAATAGGGAAACACATCTAGTGTTAGCTTCAATGTTCTTATTCTTAAGAAAGAAAGTGTGAGAGAGTCTTCATCTTCATCTCATCATGCTGGTCCTCTGCCATATGCTACCACACTAGATGTAAGGCAGTATATATTACAAGATTCAATAAGACACTGAAATATCATCTTCAGTATGCGTCTCATAGACAAGATGCAGTCCTACTGCAAATGAAAGCAATCCAATTTGTTACTGACTTCAGTAAGTCTAGGACTGGATTACATGGAATGAAATGCACATTCAGGAAAAATAATCCCTCAATTTTATTAATGATACACATTTTGGAAGTTTATAGTTTGATTCCCTCACTTTGTGTTTCCTTGAAAGACAAATCTGTATTTCCCTCTTTTTCATAGACTTTTATTTGTCCAAAATTATCTTAAAATCTGTGCTGGAAACCCATACTAAATTAGGTTAACTTAAGATGGAAGATTACTAGAGAAAACACTCTATTTTTTTTCCCCACATATCAGAGATAAATGGATAATGTTGATTTATCAGAAGCTTAAATCCCTCACACCTTTCCATATCTTTTCAGTCACACATATTAAAATAATGAAATAGTGCCAGAAACATCAATAAAGTTTGCTTGATTAACTATAGTGCAGCATATGTAAACTGAAGATGAGAACAATTTTACTCAGGAATGAGCACTTCCACTGATGTACTGTATTCCTTGAAAGAACATGGAGATGGGCAGTTCTGGATACATAAAACTGATTGCTCTTGCTGGGCTGTAATTTTAAGAAGATCGTTCCAATGACTCTAGAGGGCCACCTACTAGGAGCAGATGGGATATAGTCCCTTTGTACACCAAGCTTTAATACTGAGGTATCAGAGTGAAATTATCTATCAGCCTTTGTAAGGATACATTATCTTATTTAATCTTATTTCTTCACTCTTTGAATCGCATAAGGAGAGAAAAATTCTCAGTTTCTTCATTGAAGGCTTCGCTGAGGAACTTGCCTGTTACGCTTAAAACAGCATTTTTGATAGCACTATGTGACAAGTGGTCACACCTGCCACAGTCATACAACTCCTGCAATCAGCAAGAGTTCTTGGTTTTGCTCTGGGTTGACAGAATCCGTAAATGCTGCCATGACAAGTTTAATTATACAAAGACTCTGACAGAAATTTGAGCTGAAAGCATGGACATTCATATAATCACAAAATAGTCACTTGGTGGTGAATGATTTCAAGAGAAGAAGCAGTTATTATCCTTTACTGATTATTTGACTCTGATAATTGAATAACAGCATTGAACTATTTCAGTGACTAGTAAGTAACCACTAAAGAGAATTTATAAATACTTGCTATTTTCAGTTTGCAGATGGAAACATTTCTTCCCCAAAAGCCAAAACTTACATAAACCGTATAATTCTAGCACAGTTATTGTCCATATCTTATGGCTCTCAGCATATGCAACATAGTCAATGTTCACTTGTTTGAAATTTATCCTGATGCATAACCTGCCTCTTACATTTTACAATTAAGTAAATACTTTTTGTAGATAATACTGATTTTCCACAGATTTCATTAAAAAGTACATAATTCTCCTTTGCAGTTCCACTAACTTCAAGTGTAGACTAGGATGAAAGGGATTTAGCCCTTTTAATCATAATTTTTTAATTCATGATGAAGCAACATAAAAAAACCCAAGGAAAACTTTTGAAACTTTTGGACTTTTTACCAGTATGAGATATTTAAACTACAAAGATATGCAAAATCTGTTTTTTTTTTTTTAATTAAAACTAAGTTTTACTTATATTTTCCAGGAGAAAGGCAATTTATGCTCACATGCAATTATTTAAATTGTAGGTTGAGATATCTATCTTATTTGATATAGTTCAAGAGCATGTACATATCCTTGTGTGTTATACACAAACAATATATTTGAATTTCAAAAGAAAGCTGTATTACAATGATCATGAGAAACAATAATAGTGTGAAAACCTGTAACAATGTAGCTTATTTCAGCATGTAAGACGAATGTATTTTTAAAAAGCACTGCAAGATTCAGCATAACTTAGTCAAATAAATATTTTGTCATGTAAGTGAAGTAGACTGGGAAACATGTTATGGTTGGGCTAAAGAATTTTGGTAATTTTGCAAAGATACCTTAAGCTGTGCTAAAATAGATACTATTAAGTTAGGAGTTTTATGTTCAGCTATCACGGCTTTTCCAGGATCCTCTTTCCTGTATTTTCAGTGGTTGAAATAAAACTGTTTTTTAGTTTACTTCAGTAATGCAGAGTAGAGCAATGTGAATATTAAATGTGTATCCAGACTATCAGTATAAAGCTGACTTCAAGAAGCAACACAGAATGTCTCTGCACAAGGAAAAGGATGAATATGGGCAAAATATGACTGCTAAGTAATTTGTTGGTTCAGTGACTCCTTTCACATGAAAGAAAGGCTTAACTATGAATTACTAATGTAGTACTTGGACTGAGAAAAAAACCTCTTGATAATTTGTTAGCATGCTGTATATTTGTTTAAGGTAATTATCTTCTAGCTTTGTAAGTCTAGTGCATCTCCAGCTGCAGTGCCGATACTATTTAATGCAGTTTGCATCCAACGATAATGAATGAAACAAAGGCTGTTCCCTAGCACACCTCTGGCACATTGTCAAAGAAAAGTTTTTAGTTTATATAATACCTTAAATCTTTTTAAAGAAGATAGGGATCCTCTACCAGTCTCTCTTGCATCAACCCTCTAGAATGACCATTAATGTAGTCCCCCAATGTTGTTCTTGTGCTGTAAAAGCAGGAGTACTTGGCTACTGCTTTCTCTTTGTGTGCTTGGCACTGGATCTCTGGGATAGGATGATGACATGGAAGGTTAGCTATCTCTTCAATAAAGATTTAAGCACCAGCAAAGTTTAATAATTAATTTAGCTTTTGATTAATTTATATAAATTTGTCTTGCTTTATAGTTCATCAGTTAAAGGATGCCATATGCACTGTGTTTTTTAAGACTCTTTATTTTCGCTCACTTACCATAGCACGGCCTTTACTGTTTGGTACCTCTTCAGAAATATTCATTTGTCATTTTTACACTGCTTTGGAGACACATCTTTACAAAGGACTTGAATACCCGCCCCCCCCCCCCCCCCAAAAAAAAAAGAAAAAAAAAGGCAGCAATCAAATTTGAAACTACTGAAGTTGAGTAAATGACACTGCTGGAAAGCTTCCATAATTCTTAGGTTATGGAAATATTTCCTTAACCTAACTTCTGCAGTAATCTCTCTGGCTTTTCATAAGCATAATAGACAAACAAATTCTTTGAAATCCAAACAGTTCTGTATCTTCAGAATGGTATCCCATATAGCACTGCTCATGAACCATTCATTAGCTTGACTAAACTCACTTAATTCTGAAATTCTGGAACTTTGTTTGAAATAACAAAGTCTTATGGGTTTAAGTTAATAAATAATACACTGCCCCAGATAATGGGAAAATGCCCACAACTACAGAAAAAAACCCAAGAAAATAATTATTTCTCATAATTAGCATCAGCAATTTGGTTTCTCAGAAATACAGAATATAGAGCAGTTAAGTTCAATCCATCTTGCTATATGTAACTTGGTTGCGTTTTATTTCTCAGCTATGAGCAACAGATTAGAATGCTAAGAAACAGATTTTATAATTAAAAATGAAATACAGTATAATGTTCATAAAGGCAGAAACTTCAGCAGTTACTGTAATCACACAATGCAACTATTCAGTGCATTGACAATTTGGTGAATTTCTGTATTGTACCAGCTGATACATTTATTAAAAAAAATATTTCTTTTCTTTCATTAATTTTATTGCTGAAAGATTTCCACATTGCAAAAGAATTAAAGCTGGTGATGCTGACACAGCTCAGACAGGATATAAAGCAGAAATACCAATCAAGTGACATTAAAAAGCTGAAATTTCTTAATTTACTTTCAACAATGTTTATGAGCAAAAGAGTCCCTGCTTACAGTTTTATGCACAATGAAGCCTTATTTACTGCACTCTTGCTCAACAATAATGGACTTAGATCTCGCTCAAATCTATGCTGCAGGCTTTCCTAAAATATTTTTTGTTGTAATGGTGCACAATATTCACATGTCTCTGTTAGCATAGGGGCTAAAGTAGAGTTAGGTTTCTTAAGCCCACTTGTTATAGAGGATACACCTGCATTTTCACTCCTGTATCCAGTTAGACACAGCAACCTGACAAAGACAAATCTACCTCTGTAGGTGTATGGGGAAAAGATGATTTATCCTCTCTGTCTAGCTTGAAGACAGAATCTCATCTTAGGAGTTTTAGGATGAAGACTACTTTATCAAGAATTACATGTACAAAGCGGCCTACCTCTTCACTGCTGTCAGTTCCTTGAAAGTCATCTTCAATTTCGGTTTTCCCATGTACTCCGTTACTGTCTTGCTTCAAATCCAAAGGGAAAATGCAATATTCTGGTGACATATTTGGAGACTTCCCATGAGGAGCTGATCGAGGTCTTGATGAAAATGTGAAAATCTCTTTATTATTCACTTGGTGATCACCTGTTTCATTGCTGTGATGTTCAACGGAGACATTCTGTGGTGAGGTTAAATTATGGCAGGCTGAATCTTCAGTAGCTACAAACTGCTCACTCCTATCCAATTGAACACTCTCAGTGAAACTTTCTGGAAACACCCATTTATCTGAAATGTACAATGTTTATTTTAATGCCAAATATGTAAGTTGTATGTTACCCTGATCACTCTCATTTTCTCTGGAAGTTATACAGCAAAATAAGTTTTTCTAATACAGAAACATTCTGCTTATCAGATCTATACAGTTGGAAGAGTGACAAGGATGCAACAAAGAAGATCAGGCTGCTTTCTAAATGAGGCAAGGTTAATCAAAACGTTTCCAGATCACAGCTCAAAAAATCTGCAGGCTATGATATATGATGTGCAAGCCTGCAATTTGAAAATCTGAAACTATTTAGCTGTTAAGATTTGAAACCGTTCAACTGAATTTCATTCTAGGAAAACATAATTTTATTAAATTTGGCTATCGATCTTTTTCTATAGGCATTTTTTGTGGCTGACATTTAAAAAAAAAATAATCACACATAGTTGGTGGAAAGTTCATAGTATTACAATCTGCTGCTTCTTTATTGCTGAAATTCTACATTTTCTTTTATGTCCAGAACTTATGGCTTAAATCTCAATTTCAAACTACAGCTCTGATGAAAAATAGTGTGACATGAAAAATGTATGAAGATATCTGTTTCACTAAGTTTCCCCGAATACAGGCAGTACTAATCTGCCAATTTTAAAACAAACAATAAACTACAGAAATGGATTTAAAGATTGAGTGCACCAGATAAACATGAAAAGGCCATTTTTATAGACTTATTGTTAACTTATATTTTACTGTTTGGAATGATGGTATAGAAAAAAATGTCAATTTGATTGATTAAAACCAATCTCAAATAGCATCTGAGAAAAGGAGAATTGCTCAAGTATGCAATACTCCCTTATCTTCATTAAAGGTAGTGTGGTGTGGATTATTCACTAGATCTTGAAACTTTCTGGCTCCATAAAACAAAGTTACCAGCAACCACATTAAAAAAGCCTCAATAAAAAAATACTAAAAACGTAATAATAAAGTAGTACTGCAATAATAAAATGCTTGCCATCACAGAAGACAGTAAGTTTACTATGGTATTCTACTCTTTTTAGTTTTGTTAGAGATAGTTACCACTTCAGGCAGATTCAGCAGCTTTGGGGGGGGGAGAAAAAAAGTCCAAACCACCACAAATGAAGGCAAAAGAAAGAAGAATAAGATGCCAGGAGAAACAGTTGTCTCCTTACTGGGTTGCTGTGATTTTTCCAGTTTACCAAAGATAGCTAAAGCTACCAAACTCCAGTTAATATCCTAAATGTTAGTTTGTACTAGGAACCAGTGAAGACTAGGGACTTAACACACCTTGTACACTCATGGCTTGCACCTACTTGTTCCAGTAGAGACTATTTTTCAATTTCTACATGAAGACCGTCTATAGTCAGAAGCCCCAAGGCTTTTCAAGTAAACTCTTTTTATATTAGATAATCATCCTGGTTTAAAACAATCTAGTAGATCATTGTCTATTGTACATAAAAAAGTCTATTTTGTAAATATATAGAAATCTCACCTTGCTTTTAATTTATAAAAGACTTGAAAGATGAACATGTAAGTAATGCCATTTATTTTACAAATACTTTGGACTAGTTTTTTCAAGAGCCTCAAGAAATGAGTGAGACTATTCAAAACTTCATTTGTGTAAACCCAATGACCTTTTGTTCTGATCAATAACTACAAGTGTTTCAAAGGAGGATACTACAGCAGAATTCTCCTGTCTTTGGTCACTCAAGATGGTGTCACACCCACTAACAACTTATTTTTCTTAGGCAATTGGAATTACATGTGAAAGGTTGTACACAAATAAAACAACTGAAATAGTAAGAGAAAACACAATATTAATCATGAACTCCCATTTCACAGTTTTTATGCTTTCACTATATTTTAGTATCTATATAAGCTGCATTTTTAAGGAGTCATTTCCCCTATAAAAATGAAATGAAAGATGGATCTTCTCATTAACTTTTCACTTGAAGCTGAACACAGTATTAGAATGCTTGAGAACAAAAGACTCAGGAACTTTTTTTCCCAACTGATTTTGTGACCTAGCATGACTAAAAAACTCTCTTGCACTAAATCAGTATTTTAAAGCACTCCATCATTTGTCCAATAGGAATCTGGCCCACCAAGCCTGAAATTGTTTTGAATGTCTTTGGCCCTGGAGATGCTGCCACATCTGCAACTCCAGAAAGCACTATGCAGAAATGCCACAAAAATGTTACTTATCCCCAAACTTCAATTTGCTGGACAACTCTCCTGTATGTAAAAGGATCTTTCCCCCAGCTATTCTGGATACTAAGTCTAAAATGCTCTTAACTCTTTTTCCTAAGGCAATGATATTAGAATTTTCAACTTGCTGCATTTTTCAAAACAAAAAGTATCTTCAAAACTTACCTAGCTAAGAAAACTTTTGGATTTTTTTTTCAGTTTTTGCTAATCTCAGCACTCTGCAGTCTTCTGACCAGTCTGGCACCCACCCTTCCACTATTTCATCTCTACATGTTTTACTAGGTTTCAATGGCAGTGGCTTGACTAAGACCAAGATGTATAACATATACTTCTTTAGTATTCAGAAGGTCTTTTCCCCCATCATGAAATTAGATCTGACAAGTATAATGCTGTCTTTGCAGTTTTCAAATATGCACTAATAGCTCAGACCACTGTAACAAGCCCTCTACGGTACGGTTATACATTTAGTGTACAACCTACTTCACAAGAATCTGCTAATTTTTACGCACAAAGGACTGTGAATGAGTAGAGAGGAGTGGCTTTATTTTTATTATAGCCTAGTGACTTAATAATAACCAGCTTCTCTAACTGCAGTCTCACTTGTTCTATTCTCATTCTAGAATGACTTGTAATGCAGTTGTTGCTGTTTAATTTGCAGAGGTCATTGCAGATAAAATTTTATAATGAATTCTGAAGCAAAAAAAAGGTGTTAAACCACTTGGGTTTTGAGATTTTAAGTCAATTTTGAATGAAGTATCAAAATATGAAAAAGATATCTTAAGTCACAGTTTTTGTCAAGTGTTTAAAGAAGCAGCAATTAGAAGCTTAAACTCCTGACTCCTACTCCTGGCTCTGTCACAGACATCCAAAAAATTCTTACACATCACTTTACTCACCATTGTGAGTAAGGCAATGTCTTTACCCAGATCAAAAGTACTTCAGAAATAAAGAACTACTTTAAAAGACTTAGTGTCTGTATAATATTTAGTCTGAATATTCTGCTTTTTTAGTCTAACCTTCTCTGTAAAGAACAACATTAGTCTCCAGAGATAATGTTGAAATATACTTGGGTTAGTAATAAGATAAACACAAATATTAGTTTGTATACCACAGTACTTATTCGTAATGAAGTATGCAGAGGGAAGATAGAAAAGTCTGTAAGGCTTTAAGATGACATTTTACACTGGCTATGGACTTCAGCAACTTCTGTAACCTGTAGTCAGTGTAGCATTTTGTTAACAGTCTACAAGCGAAAGATATGGGGTGTTTTGGACCAAACCAAATCCCATTATCTCTCCACCACAAACTACACTGGAATTTCTTTTTAACTCAGTATTTTCATGTCAATTGTGATGAACAATTTGGAGTATCTTCATAGCAAAATATGCAAACTACTATGTAATCACAACATTACAGCAAACAAGATAAATGCAAGTATGATCACCTAAACATCTAATTAGTTCTTCTACACAGTCAGACTTATGCTAAAGCTTCTAATTGCAGCCTAACATTTTAATGAAGGTTTCAACATTGCATAAGTAAGACTGGCAAACTATAAACAATGCTCACTCGTTTTATTTTTTCCCTTGCTTAAAAACAATTTACCTTGGTAAAGGTACTGCATACCTGCTACAGAAGACATGCTGATTTGAAGTGTATAATAAATCTAAGAGATATTATTATAAATAGCAGTGACTAAACTCTAAGGTAATAAGAACAATCACTTATGAAAGCTCCCCTCCCCCCATGAAATTTAAATTAATATTTACTAAAGCTAATGGCAGAAGTGCAGTAGTGCCCTAAGATCACCATAGACATGGTTGCACAAGGCTCAAGAATACTAAATGTCTGGTGATAAGAGAAGAGTAGTGTATGATAGATTCTCGTTGATACAACTTGTTTAGACCACAGTATAAAAGGGGAGCCAGAAACCATGTAAGCTTGCACTTCCTTGGGGAATGTGGTTTTGTGCTAATGACTTGTCATAGGTGTATGTACATTAACACCTTGTCAGAAGTGTCAGGACTATGCTTTTGGCTGAGTCATCACCACTGAACCAAGTTTGTCATTGTAAGATCAGCTGTTGGGAGTTTCCTGACTAGAACACTGATCCTGAGGTTTATGGGGTTACAATCCTGACAGTGTGCACAAACTTTAGCTACAACACAAGTTATCATAGAAATAATAACTTCTTTGCTTTTATTAGAAAGGTATTTGTTTTTAAAATGTGAATGCAAACATGAAACAGTTTGGTCAGAAATGAGTACAAGTGTTTTTGTTCTCTCACCTGATGTCAGGGTACACTTACTTCACTTCCTTTTGTAAATGACTTTTACAGTATTTTATACAGATGTATATGTTTAATGGTTTAATTTTATTTAAAATTATTAGGTTCCTCATTTTTTGCTAGGTGTTTCTGGTTTTGAATTTCCCCCCCTTCCCTGTGAACATTTCATCAAAGAATGCCTAGCATTCTCTGAGGTCAAGTTTATCTGAGTTTGGAAGAAGTTCAGAACAGAGCGTAGAAGAGGAATTTCTTTGATGAAGAGGTTGCCTATAGGAAGCTCTTCAACACAGATTAATCCAGTACTACAGGATGAAGAAACCATTAAGTCATCTATATACAGTTAGACATCTTCATGTATTGAAAAAAACCTGAAATGGGCAAACTGAGCTATCAGTGCCAAGTGATCAAAGTATGGAAAAAAAAAAGTTTGGAGAATCATACCTTACAAATTCACATTGTGCATTTATCTGCCTATACACACAAGTAAGACTACACAGAAACAGTTTTCATTCTCACAAATAAAAACAGTAAAATACCAGTGTTTATACATAGCTTTCTTCCTCAGTTCCGGGCTTCTGAATTTACAATAGGGCATTCAGACATGCCTGTCTACTGCCTTAAGTCTCTGTCTTTTCATATCACTTATATTTACATAAATTAACAAGTGATGATTAATTTTCCTTAAATTCTAGCACTAGATAGAGGTCCTGATGTTCTAGATGAAGAATATGTAAGACAATGATTCCTGCCTCAGGATCCTCACAATTCAGGTAAAGAGGAAGTAGTTTAAAAATTCTCCAGAAGGCTCTACTTGCCTAAGCATCTTGCATCTGTTTCAGTCAAATTATAAACCCCATAATAGCAATTATGGATTACTGACACTGTCATAGTATATAACTGCTTCTAAACATCCCAAAGATTAAACAAAATGGAAACAACTCAGAGTGTGAAGGAAAATTTCTTTGGTCAATTTTGAGCAGATCTGAGTAGTCTGCCCACTTCACAAGTTTGTGGCTATGCCTTTTAATAGAAAGTAACACTAGTTTTTTTTACAGAGACAAGGACTATTTTTGCCACAATAATGTACTTTCCAGACACATGCAAAGCAAGTTGATTGACACTGTATGACAAAAAATATCCACACCTTTTGGCAGACAGGTGTGAAAGGGAAAAAAACATAAGCTGAGGTGTCTTTCTGTGAATAAGGGAGGGGGAAAAAAAAAAGTAAATTCACCACTGAACTTTAAAAACAAAACAAAAACCCCTGATATTACATGGGTACCATAATTAATATCCTAAACTCTTACCTGGTACAAGTAAACTTTCTCATACTTTCGATGTTTGGAGTCTTTAGTGTTAAATTTAATAGGGATTTAAAGAATAAATTATTTTTAGTTCTTTCCCTTTAATCATGAGAGCATGGAATTTTCCTTTTTTTATTCATTCACTGCTCTGGCACTCTGCTTAATCCTGCAAATCTTTATCAATGCTGAAAAGCAATTCTGTTGCAGGGTGTTTGATTTCCATAATCCCCCACAACACAGGCATTTATATTTTATGTGAACTGCTTTTGGGTCCTTTGAAATTTACAACAGATAGTCCCCCAAGCCAAACACAACTGAGATGTAAAATAACATAAAAGGAGCACTATACCGCTGGTTATCTCCCATGTGTTTTTGGCTGCATTTTTTAGAGATAATCTTCTATGACTGTTCTTGTCTGCTAACGGTCCTTGTGGTGAGGCGAGCTGAAAATCTGCTCTTCCACTCTCAGAGGTTTTCTGAGTCTGAATTGCAGGGTCTGAAATACAACCCAGAAGCTTATGAAATGCCTGTGAACACTCATATTGTGTACTTTTGTTACTTGAGGCATGGAAAAACAGCATACAGAGCATTGTCCTGGGATACAAACATCTTCCAAACGGCACAGGAATCTTGTAGGGCAGCAGGAATATGACAGTCACAAGAAAGTAAAAATTTAACACTAGGTATGGAAAAAGGGCAAACCACAGAAGTTATAAAAAACAGGCTTGCAGAAGTCTGCAAAATAATCAAGAACCACTGCAGTAGCCCAGTTATACACACAGCATGAGGGAAAGTGAAATACATGTATAACCTGGGGCTACTGCCAGCAGGTGGTGATCCCTGGCTCAAACACAATATGAATACCTGCAGAGAGAATGAGCATTTATTCAAGCTCATACAGGAGAATAAGCCATGATTTAATAGAAATGTCTTCAGTAATTAACAAGGTAGATAAAGGATTAGAAAAACAGAGAATTAAGTCTTACATACTGAAATCAGAATCATGCAAAAGTTTTGGTGGTTTGTGAACTCTGCATATTCTTTTGCTCTTACCATTTTGACATAGATCTTTAGTTGTTTGGGGAGTATTTCTTTTGCCTCCTTGATCTAAAGAATCATTGCATGGTGAGAATGATAGCTCCAATCTCTCAACGTCTTGTACGGATTCAGTTCCCTTTCCTGAACTTTGAAGTCGCCATGATCTATTACTTTTGCTACCCCAGGCCTTTGTTACCTTGAAAGACATTATTTTCTTAGTGAAAGACAAAAACATAACAGCTTTCAAAATACTCAAAGGTAAATGCACATTTTGAATTAAGCTTATTTTTCAAATAAATGTTTCCAAATATTTTTTTTAAAGTATTATCTTTTCAGGAAACTTTATGGTAGGTACAGTTCTGTGTGGTATCTTCAATCTTCATGGTCTAGTAACAGGCAGGGTTTATTTCACTGAGTGAAAGGGAAACAAGGCAAAGAAAAGGAAAAAAAATTAAAATTCACTATCTGGATAAAAAGACAGTGAAACTTGTGGCTATTCTAGACCTCAGAAGGAGTCCTTTCTTCTTTGGATAAAGGAATCTCATTTTACATCTTAGCTTTCAATTGACTTCCTCAGAAGAGCCTAATTCCTTTGGTTGGGTCCTTTATTCACAGTGTTAAACTGGAAATTGTAGTCCCAACCAGATTCCTAAAATATGTATGTTTGCTAGCAGAGTGAGACCAGCTGTTTTCCCTGGCATTGTAACTGACAGCATCACATGAGCTACTGTATGGCTGACTATCATCCACTTAGAGCATACCAAAACGCAGAGTTTCTGCTATGCATCGTAGTTTTCATCATAAGGAAAAATATTTACACACACACACACAAATTTCAATAGCCTAGAACAAAAAATTCAGAAAAATAAGAATCATAAGAAATCAGAGTAATTTCAGTAGGAAGAGACCTCTGTAGGCCTAATGCTGAGATTAGATCAGCCTGTTCCAGTCAAGTTTTGTTATCTTTGAAAGTTTTGAAATTCCACAAACTCCCTGTGACCCTGTTCAAGTGCTGAACACTTTATCATTATACTCAGTCAGAGCTTCCCTGCAATTCAGGCCTGCTGTCTCTTGCCCTTTCACTGCACCTCTTTGAAGAATCTGGGCCTGTCTTCTCTACAGCCCTGCATTAGCTGAAAATAGCAAATAGATTCTCCCTTCACCTTCTCTTCTGTGGGCTGAACAAACACATGTCATGTGCTGTAGCCACCCAAGCATTTTACTTGCGCCCCACCAGATGTTACAGTCTCTCTCACACTGGGTGTCCACAACCAAACATAGTACTCCAGACACAGCCTCACATCATCCTTGAAAAAAAACTTTAATGTGACTCCTCTACTTGTTAATTTCCTCCTTTACAGAAGTGCCAGCAGGTTTTTTTTTGTAATTTAAGCCTTCTTACCTCTCTGGATACCCTTGCACTGACACTTCTGTTTGAAGATGGAGGTGGCCCAAGGATCTTTGATCCAAATGCAATATGTGATACATGCTGAGTTTTAGTGCTGCGTATATTGCCTTGTCCTCTATTAACCAAGCTACCTAAGATAAGAAAAATAATATTTAAAAAAATTACAGTACTTACAAAGAATGAATATTAATACTTTTTTCAAATCAACTGAAATAAAAGAATTATGAATACTAAACATACATCCTTTATAGCAAAATCCCTAGAAATATGTAGGAACAGCAAATGCACATTTTATAAAAGTGTGTCAACACACAAGCAATAAACTTTTGGTATATTATATAGACATTATTTCTAATCTCCTTGCTTTAAATATTTATTTAAAAAGGGGCTATTTATAAACAAACAAAAAAATTGGTTTGCATGATTTCTTTAGAACTTCAATGAAAACGTAACTTCTGATAGGAAGAAAAAACAACTCTAATAAATAACAAAATAAATAAATAATAACAGAAGAAAACTGAGGCAAGACTCTCAAGGTATCACTCACAGCTCAGAGAACTATTTACCTGTAGCTTGCTTTTTGAAATTACTGAAACTACTGTATTACCAGGGCTGAGCCCTAATATTGCAAACGTACTCTATTCCTGTTAAAATGTTCTACCCCTTTCATTATTTACTTTTTTACTGTTTAAAATTTAGCTATTTTACTATAATTCTTTTCAAGCACAGAAAGTGCCAAGCAGTTTGCAAGACAAACAAAAAGTAAACATGGAATGCAGGCAAATGTTCTGAAAAAAATTTAAAAGGGAAGGAAAGTAAAATGGCTATGTATTAATTTTATCACCAGTGTTGTAGAACTGCATGTAATATCTATTTTCCTTTTTTTTAATCCTCCAATAATTGCCAGAGTTGATAAAGGGTATCTTCGCATTAATTTATAGTTAAAATTTACAATGTCTGAAGATTTTTTCTTGCTACAACTTCAATGTTAAACTGCTATCTCACTTCAGAGATCTGACACCTTCATAAAGCAATAAAGTAGAAACAAAACATTTTGTTGATTCTTCTAAGCATTTTTCATAGAATTATTTAATCTTATTTCAAGATCGGCTTTACTTACAGTGTCATCAAGGAACTGAAAAAAAGATCACGCATTAGCCACCAAATATCATTATTTACTGTACTAATAAGCACAAAAGAAGCCACTTTCTGCCACTGCCTTCTTCCCTTTTTACTGACGTGACATTTGGTTGCTGCTAACAGCTGCCATTTCACAAAATTAGATGACCTGTCTTGGTTTAACATCAATTTCTTTAATTTGCTGACTACCTTGGGATGTTGTTAGCTCCAATTATAAAAGCTGATTTGCATGAAAATCTCTCTTTATGAACAAATTAATTGACTGCAATTAATTACCTACATCTACACATAACAGTGTGTTGATGGCATAATGAAATAATATGTGTAATTAAAAGTGGATGATACTAAAAATAATTTGGGCTTTTGATTATCAAATAAACAAAAAGTTTAGCAGATAAAAAGAACATTTTCCAATTAAAATGTATTTCAACATACCAAAGCTTCCATTTTCAAGAAGGCCAACTTCTGAAATTTGAAAAGCATGTCTGGAAGAACACATGCTATGTTCATAAAATGGGGTTAAAAATCAAGATTAAACCTTAAACTGAAGGCATTTCATTTTCCTGCAGGTCAGAGATGTTATCATTAATTATTTTACTATATATACCTAAGGGTTATATATCCTTGCAGTCCAGATGGTAAAACCTGAGTCTTGTTTTAAATGAACATTCATTTTTCTGTTTAGATACATCATTCACACTATTGTACTCATTTAAGTCTTACAGTCCCTCATATTTTGACAATCCAGCCAAGAAATATTGATTTTTGAATACAGTCACTGAGACACTGAATTCCAGAGTTTCCTCTGCTATTTCAAAAGCAAACTTACAATCACACTTCACAACAGAACTTTGGCTTGACTACTTGCAGGGCAATAACACTCTAAAAATATTATTTTCCCTTTAATATTACAAAAATGGTACTTGCACGTAAAAAAAAGGTGAATGTAATTTAACTAAGTAAATTTATGAAGGGTCTTACTCTAAGCAAAAATTTAAACCCCCTCCTATTCATTTCAGCTGCTGTAGGACAAAGACTGCCTTTACTAATGAGGTATATCAAGAAAGAGCAAAAGTTAACAACTTGAAAAAGCATTAGCATGGTAGCTTAGTGCAGATAAAATCTTTGAGTTGTTTTTTTCATATTCTGGTAAAAGCAGAAGAAAAGTATCTTTAAAAGTATTTTCTTAAACCTTTCATATTCTCAAAGTTGTTCTCATAGAAATACTTGTTTCAAACTTTATTTTTCTTTAGAGTTTCATGTGATGCTACACCTTAAATACTATTGTTGGCTGTAACAGTCTTCTCTTTTATAGTATTAAACTTCACCAGTAGTTACCATTCCCTTTAATTTATCTTATTCCTTTGGTCAATACTTTGCACATGCATTTCCAAAGCATTTTAACAGAAATGGTGGAAATGATTATTCACTGAATTCAAACACTAAAGATGAGAATCCTCCAGTCTGAGAACGTACTAAAAACAGTGGAATAAAAATGCATCTTCCTTACCTACAGCACCACTTCTAACATTGCCTACACAATAAAAATGTATTGGAAATGGATTCTTTATCTAATTTGCTTGTTCAGACCCACTTCTAAGCTACTTCAGACCTACTTCCTTCTCAAAAGACGTTCTACTACCCTTTTTTAGTATGATGAATCAATGACTCATAAAAGGTGGTACAGAGTAAGGGGAAAATGAAAAACTTTAATAAGACATTGCAATTATTATATGGGCCAAATTAAAGGCTTCGTCTTCTGTCTCATACAGAAGCCAACAATAGTATAACAAAAGAGTAGAGTAAAGAGGGTGCCTGTATAGAGAGATTTCACCTGTGTAAAATATGGGGGTTTTCCTACATTGATTTATTTCCTCATTGGAAATGTAGCTGATGTCTTCAAAACTAAACTACTGATTTAAAAAACTTGATTTTGTCAACCACAAAAAAACCTGTCAATAGCTGAAAATTTCTTTACATAGTTACCTTAAGACCACTACTGTTTATGAATAATTTTACAACTACAGAGTTCCACTAATGAACACAATCTATGTCTCTTATTCTATTGCTGTTAATTAATGACGATCTTTCTCATTACAAAATTGTTTTAGAGATACTCATTGTTTTGAATCAAAACATTAAAGACTGTAAAGACATTTACCTTAGTGACTTTTTGCTATTGACTTTACTGCAGGTAAGAAGCAAAACACAGTTTTAAAGCAAAATAGCAGCTTTAATAAAAAGCAGTCAATTGTCTGACCCAAGTCTATTTAAGCAATTTCACATTCAAATCTTGGCATTTGCTTCTGCAGTTCAGTTTCTACTGATTCTTGGCTTACAAATCTTATGCAGACAGACATACCAATTTAAATATAAAAACACACGAAGTGCTATTCTACAATAATCTGTCTAACATCCAGTTTCAAAGAATGGCCAAAACCAAATGCTTCAGAAATGGCACAATGTAATTTCAGTAGGGATTTATGAAATAATCTGCCTTCAACACAGTTCTTAGAGTAAGGCTGGAAAAACCTAGAAGTAGAAGATTAAATTTTCCCTTCACATTTTTATGGATGCTAAATACGACATGGACGTTACTCTTACCCATATAAATGGCCAACTGATTTTGGAATCATACAAATTTCTTTACTTCACCAGCTTATTATAGCAGTGGATTCCATATTTTAATCATATTCTGTGTAACATGGTATTTTCTTTTATCAGGTTTTAATTTTCAACTATATCATCACATCAAATGATGTATTGTTTTTGTGCCATGAGATAGGAAAAGCAGCTTTTACTGTATAAACTCCCTTAAGCCAATTATTAATGTTTTCAGCATATCTTCACGAGAGTTTTTCATTCATGCTGGTTCCCTCTGAATCACTTCTCTGTCTGTAAAATCTTTTCTGAGATGGTTTAACTGATAATGTATAAAGTATTTCAGATAATAATGCAAAATTGATTTACTTAAAGGTTTGATTTGATACCTTTTCTGTTTCATGTGGATTTGAACTTCCTGCTACCCAGTACCTTATTTTTTTAAAAAATGTAGCTACATATGAATCTGAGAATTCCACTGAGCTGAATCTATGGTGATGATAACCTTCCTTCCTTGAGTCATTTAATTTTGACACTTTAAAGCTTAACTGTAGTTAACATTTCTCCCCAATGTACAATCCTTTGCTTTTATCAAAGCTAGATCTTACATGGTATCATGTTACACATTTACCTAGGACAGCGGTCCCTAGCTCATAATTTTTCAACACAGTGGCCACAAGAAATAAAACCAGTAAACTGGAACTTTCTTTAGCAAAAGATGTTTCCTGCACATTACCTGCTCTGCAGTGTTTTTCCTGAAAAAGAACATACGGGATTGCCCATCTTACAAGTTTAAAACTCTCTGAAGTCCCACTTTTTACTGACCTAGTATCTGTATCATATGAAAATTTTGCTCCCATATTATTCATTTCTCTTTCGACATTATTCATAACTCTAATAAACAATACAGAGCCTAGAACAAAAAACCTTCTGAGGCCTCCTGCTGTTAGCCTTCAGTTATAACAAAAATTTAAAATTTGATCCTCGGTTTGCTTTCTGTGTCTTAGTTTTTATCCAAGTCAATAGTTTGTATCTTGGCACATGACTACCTAGCTTCTTTAATAAATCTCTTCTATACAATGCTGTCAAAGTCTAAATTATATGTTTTATTATCTTCTAGCTTACAGAAACATTCAGATAAATCCAAGACACCAGTAAGACAAGACTTCCTTTCTCAAAGTATAAGCTGAGGAGACTATGCGTGGTCATATTGTTAGAACAGTTTCATTAATGTAAACATACTTTAAGAAGTGTAACAACTGCACAGCCACACTTCAATGTACATTCAGAAGACATACCTTAAATATTGTTATTATAAATTCCATGCTTGCATTAGAATTGTTTAGGCTACACATAGATCTCTGAAACTATGGAACAGATGTGTCTATGTGCTCATGATATTACAGCTATGCAAGAGTTGTCATGTTTTATTTTAAGACACTAGAACTCTTAACATGCACTTTTAGAAAAAAAAAAATCCATTATTTGTATGCATACTGTATAGATCATATCCATAGTATTTTAATACAACAGAATACCTGTTTCTTGCACTGTTACTGGGTATCTCCTGCATTTTATTATTGGCTTGTGAATTTTAGCGAGGTTCAGCAATTGTGTAACCTGTGGCACACCTGTATTTAGCTGGCAGGATCGAGGAATAACATCTGTGGGCTCATACGGCATAAATGGAACAACACACATATCTAGAATCAAAAAAAACATGGGCTTGACTTCACTCAGATGATACAATGGAATTAAATTTGACTTACATTATTTGTTAGATTACATATACATAACAATTTAATACATTACGGTAATTTGAAAAATTTGTTGCGATTGTTCACTTTTAAGACAATCAGCATGTAAATTTTAAAATAATATTGTGTATTTTTTTAGGCAAAAGAATTTGAATACATTTAAACTAAGAAATATGCACCAATGGCTGGAATAGCCATAGTAAATCAACAACTTTGATTTGGCAAGTAAACAAGCAAAACAGACTCACAAAATACATTTTGTTAATTTTTATTACAACTCAGCTTTAATTCTAATACTGATATACTGATTTTCAGACAAGATGAACATCTGAAAATGGTATTGATATCAGTGGGACTGAAGTAGCTAACAGAGAAGTCCCATATATGCAAATAAAGAATTTGACAAGCTTTAATTCCAAACTTTGGACACCATTACAATTTCATGATAAACTAAAAAGCTGTCAACCTATCTATTCTTGTGACACCAGGCACTAGTAGATTGTGATCTGATTGTCTCTGCTTTCCCTTTGATAATAAATACGGACTGAGTTTATGAAAGTTATTCTTTATGAAGAAAGGCATCCACAGTCAGAACCATTCCCGATGTTCTCATGCAAATTCATTCCAAATTTTCTAAAACTTGAATATAGAAAGCTAATGAATATTAGCCTCTTTTACAAGGATAAGAAGTGGAAAACATAACCCCAAACCCAAACCCAAATAATGGCTCAATTACTGACATCCTAATAGAAAGATTCAAGTGTCCCATGTTATATTTTAGTAGTGGACATATTTTTTCAACCATTTTTTTCACCAAGCTGGTACATTACTTACTGCTGTAAAACAATACTTAGTGATAAAAGCCCCATATGTAACCTCAGGATTACTATGGAAACCAGAAGCTAGGTATGTATCAAGCTTGTATGTCTCAATAACATGGGGCAGAGAAGACAAATTCTTTCCTCTTTTATCTCAATGATCTCCCACAGAAATAATTTCTTAGTATATGTGGTTTCTCCTTTCCACTTGTTATCATTTTAAGAATGCAAAACATACTGTTTACAAGCTACTAAGAAAGAATAACACACACATTGCATCTTGAAATCACTACTTTGACCACCAAGGAGGTTTAAGCAAAGAACTGGAACCTCATGACAAGTTGCAATGTCACTGCATTCAGTGGAGCTCAACTAACTGGTCCAATCATCCAAGAGGAAAAAAGCTTTATCAAATCATGATTGTTAACTGAAAGTTAATTAATAATAACAAAAAATTACTATTGTTTTTCTATAATTGGCTATGAAGTATAGAGTTATTTTAATACAGCCAAACCTTGAGCTGTAACATAATTTTAAGACTTGCCTAGATAAGGAAATTCATAAGCATACAGAAAATACTAATGCCCACCAGCTGTGTAATAATCATAGAACTGATAATCCAGTAATTAAAAGTGTAATATTTTACCATGCATACAGTTTATTAAAGCTGTCTACTCATTATGTTAACTACATTTTGGAACTCATTTAGAACATTTACGCACATTGCAAAAACTGTTTAGAATGGAAGAGAGAAAACAATGCACTAACAGAATTAAATTAAAGCCAGTGAGGCCTCTAACTGCAGTTTCTGCTGAGAATTTACCAGATTCTCTCTGTAGTCTATTTTTGAATTAATTTTTTTTCCCAACCTCACCAACAAAAAAAAAGGAGTAATCACAACGATCACATACTCTCCCTTATTGGTTTAGGCTTTCCAAATAGCATTTTATTACACTTACAATATTGCTAAATATCCCTCCTTTAGAAACCAGAACCCCTTTTTCAGGTGTGTTCTTTAAAAGCCACAAAATGAAAACTGAATGGAACTGAAGTTGAACTATACCTAGGGTTCCTCTAAAATAAGAAAGTGCCAGCTGTGCTTTTCAATTCCTCCCATATTACTGCAAATATCAGCAAGCAATGAAGTTCTCTCCCTTGGAAAATAATGATTCAGGATTATGATGCTAGTTTGGAGACTAGTAAACCTTTGACCAATATCCTGCTTTATTACAAATATAATCTCTTATTTTTCAGCTCACCACCAATATTACTTTCCCAATGAACAAGGACACATTAGGATAAATGGACTAAAGATCACAGAGAGGCATTTATGATAGTTTCATAGCTCTGTTTCATATAATACTGCTTTGTTACAGTTTTGTCTTGGATTATTTAAAGAAGAAATCCTTCATCAGCTGCTTATGTCCAAAATTAAGAAAACAAACAGCAAATGCTACTAAGTTTAAGTATTTCTCTTTCCTTTCAGACATTCTCTTCTTGGGCAAAACCTGATTTCTATCAGCAAAAAATATCCTCACTAAAACGAGCTCTCTGCTTGATAAATCCTGCCAGAATTTCTTCAATAAAATACTTCTAAGGAAGTCAATGTTTAAAACAGAGGAGTACACATATATTTGTCACCTGAAGTCCACCACTAGCAGATTTAATATGCTGTACTACCACTTTAATTTTCATGAAATCATGTAATCTTTCAAATTGCCAATCTGATGATTAAGAAGCTTTTGATTTTATAATATGAACAGTTATGATTAAGACTACATAGTAATTATAACACACCATCTTCCTCAGCTGTATCTTGAGGCTTGGATTTTAAAGTGAAGATCTTTCTCAGTTTACAGTTAGCTGAAATAGTAATTCCATCCAAAGACTGGAAGACAGCTCCTCTGAATATTTCACTGGTGAATGCTACCAAGTCAATACACATATTGCACCACTAGAAAAGAGAAACAATACTCTTTAATAAAACCCAAACACTAATCATTGCAGAAGACTATTAGTGTATATTTCTCTATAAATGAAGTTTCTGTGGAGTGTTACAGTTCTCACAGGCTGTGATTCACAATGGATAACATTTTGATATTAAAAAAGATATTGCTGTATTTCCACTTACAACAATTATTTATACAAACAAATCAGTACATATGACCTAGTGACTGCAAGCTCAAGTGAGCTTTGTTACCTAGCATATCCACAATGTATTTTGCAGCTAACTTGTGAGAAAGCATATTTGTTGAAGGTTTTCTGGGGAAAAAAACCCCCTGTTATTCAACATTACTTCATAAGGTAAAGTTACTGCAGCTTAAGTGCTCCAAAGGCTAAAGCTGGAGATACTTTGATGATTTCTTTCTGAGATTCATAAAAAAAGGACCTCTCCAAATCTTGCACCCCTTCCACACTGAAATCTATCAGGCAAATTTCTAGTATGGACAAGATCCCAGTGTATCATAACATCTTAAAACTACTTCTTGTTTATAATAAATGTTATCCATTCCTGATAAGACATTTCCAAAAGACAAGTCAGATCATGAAAACTGCCTAGGTTGCTGAAGATCCTACTTAAATACATGTTTTTATTCTGATTAGATGATTATTCCATTTGTTTCAGGAAACACTGTTAGAACACTAACATCAATGTGCTACACTCTCCCGCACTATTCCAGTAGCTCTTTAAATTCTCTCAGTTTCAAGTTTTTTCCACTTTTTATAATACAGAAATGAGCAGTTACAGGTATCTATTTTGCACGTGAACCATATTACGATTCCATTATTCTCCTAGAAAAAAAGAAGTTTCAAATAAAACAAGTAATACCACAAGCAGAACAACTAACAAAATATGTTTTGTTTTGGCTTTATGTCTTCCATTTAGAGTATCTGAAGTTTAAAAACACATATGCTTGGAATTCCGGTCTTCCTAACAATTCTTCTCCTCATCGATTCTGATATCTAGTGAGGGATGAGCTGATGCTAACACATCTTCTATAACCGGGAAATAAACAGAGATGGCCTTGACGAGAAATGCAACCATTTTCATGAAGTTTGCAGAACTGTAATATATTTGATGTGATTACTCACATGTAAAATACAGTTGACCAATGGGTTGAAGTTTTATTAGGGAGAATAATATCAAGACATAATGATTGTACATGCCTCATTTCCTTATACAGTCAAGGTAAAAGTATTGGTTTCTAAATCCAAATAGTAAACATTTTTTGAGAAAAAAAAACGTGCATACATTACTATTCAGCTTCTAAGTCTGAAATTTTGGAAGGAAAGGAATACTTGTTTTGAAGACACCAAGCAATAGAATGGGAAAATGCAGTATTTAATTATAACTGATATTTTGATTGCTGAGGTTGAAAAATAGGCTCATTTGTAAGAATTCAATACAGGAAGCTAGCATATGAAAATGTAAACTATGTTCTACTGATGGAACAAAGAACATATTATATGCTTATTCACAACCAATCATACTGATAATAGTGATCAGCTTATGTATACAATAAGCTAAACTATCAGGGCCATGTAAAAGATCTAGCTAATCACTGAAAGCAGCATACTCCCTCCTTTAAGTAAAAGCAACAATAAAAAGGCAGATAACCATTTAAAAGAATAGTTACCTGAATACAGACATGTATTCAGATATACTAAAAAATACAGACCTACTCTTTAAGGTTCGTCAAGCGTTAAGGTTATTAAAATATTTTGTCATTATAACTGATCAGAGCATTTAGACGGATCTCTGATTAATGTTTTATTATTCAAATTAAAATACATAACTGAAGTTCTATTCTGATTGAATTTGGTGTATATTAATGCATACTCTAGTCCTGAAACATTTGTGCTAGCCTGACACCAAGATGAACTAACTGAAATTATACTGAAGAAAATTTCATTTCAGTGGGTCTTGAATTAACAGCAACTTCAGGGGTATGATCTGATGCATATTCATTTGAAAAAAATCCAACCACGAAGCAGAAAACTCCTGAAATCTAAAATTATCACAGCTGCCTTCACCTAAACTATCTTAAAAGAAGTCATAACTTCAGGAGTTTTTGTAAAATATTCTCTTTCATAACTAGCCTTAAATCCACAGCTGCTTAGTATACTAAGTGTTACCTAGTTCTCTCGGTGCTTACTTATACTTTAAAATGTTTGAAATCTAACTATTCTCATCTCCAAATGATTTTCTAAAGCAATATTTGAGACTTGAGCCTTTACAAGGTTAGATGGTAACTATCAGGTTTTGTATCCTGACAGCTGTTACCATATGTTGTGGCTGGGTGTGGGAGAGGGTAACAGGGAGACGATGCCTATTGTTTTATTTTCATCAGTTTGACATATACTTTGTTTCATATATGCTAGAAAGTAGCCATCAGCTACAGTCTACCTGCAGCTCCAGTGAAAGTAATAAAAGGACACTAGAGGAGAAGGTACACACGAACAGGAACACTATAATGAAGAAGTATCAGGGGGACAGAGAACTTTAGAGGCTGAATACATAGCAGAAGTGAGAGAGAAACACATCACAAACAGCATTAATCTTGGAAAATGGGAACGAACTCCTAATGTTAGAAGGGTAGAAGAGCAGTAGTCTTAAGTGGTTCTGACACGATCCAGTAGAGGGGACACACACATATCTTGAATTAGCATGAACTGAATTCTAAACCAAATAGTAATTTCAACAGGTCTATAAACTTACATAAAACTTTTCTGATAAAAAAGCATGCTCAACCACAGTTCAAGGAATATTCCCAAGGTACCTACTATTTTGCGCTTGATTGTAAACAGAGGAATTTTTGCATGCAGAGGGGTTATAGACAACTCCTTGTGGACCGTTGATAAATACAATCTTCTCTTAATATTTCCTAAATCAGTTATCCTATAAAAGAAAAAGCAGGAGAGAATGGAACAGATCTTTGTCAATTCAGTAATCCAGTATCTTTGGGCAATCACAAAAAACCTATTCATATGCAGAACCTTTACGTCAGTGATAGCAAATATGGAATTTAAGAATTACTTCTTTCACAAGATGAGTAATGAGATTTCTTTCTCAAATTCAAACTTGGTGGCTATATTCCTGCATATATAAAATCACTTTACATGCTAATTTTATTTCAACAGTCTACACTCTTCACCAGATTTCCATAGCCCTTCAGACTATGAAAGAATTCAATTTGTATGAACCGAGAACCCAGTAGCCTTTAATAATCACACTTGTTTCTGCCCCTTAAGCTTGTGTTATCTTGGGACACACTGTCACCTGCTAACTAGAAAAACATTATTTGCTTTCTTTTCCTAAAAATACCTCTGTCATTTTATATAGACTCTTTTTCAGCTTAAAGATAGACACAAGACATTGTCTGTCTGTTTTACTTCCTGAGCACACATCTTCAAATGTGAATTACAATACAGAAGTTTATTGCTCGCTATTCAGGTCATCTCACAATACCACCAAGGACACTGAATTTGAACATTTCTAATAGATTCAGACCACGGCCATGATCACAAAGATTAGGCTTCCTTTAAACTGATAAAGAGGCTCATTTTTACATTCTGTTTCCTTCAAGTCTTATGAGGAGCTGTACTGGTCTTGGCTGGGATAGAGTTAAACTCCTTCAGAGTAGCTTGTATAGTGCTATGTTTCAGATTTGTGATGAAAACAGCATTGATAACATAGGGGTGTTTCAGTTATTGCTGAGCAGTGCTTATCCAGAGCCAAGGCCTTTTCTGCTTCTTATCCCACCCCACCAGCGAGGAGGCTGGGGGGGCACAAGGAGTTGGGAGGGGACACAGCCGGGACAGCTGACCCCAACTGACCCAAGGGATATTCCAGACCATATGGCGTCATGCTCAGCATGTAAAGCTGGGGGAAGAGCAAGGAAGGGGGGGACATTGGGAGCGATGGTGTTTGTCTTCCCAAGTACCCATTACATGTGATGGAGCCCTACTTTCCTGGGGATGGCTGAACACCTTGCCTGCTGAGGGGAAGTAGCAGATGCCTTATTTAGCTTTTACTTTTCCTAGTAAACTGTCTTTACCTCAACCCACAAGATTTTGCACTCTTACCCTTGTGATTCTCCCCCTCATCCCACTGTGGGGGGAAGTGAGAGAACAGCTGTGCGTGACTTAGCTGCCTACTGAAGTTAAACCACAACAGCAGCACAACCTTGATATTCCCCAGCAGTCCTACCTTATTATACTGGAGAACAGACAGTATTTCAAAGGCTGCAAACTGGGGAAATAACGATTAATTTACCTATTATTTTTGAACAAGCCTATTTCTAACAGATGGGTATTTGTCTGTAATTCACAGCCCCTCTGAGAAGATGACAAATAATTACAGTAAACAACTTTGTCACTACTTAGTGTTGTTAAAAATAATTACTCATAATCATTATATTTAAATGCTGAGTTTTACTTTAAAATTGTGAGACAGCCCTGTAGATTTATTTTTTTTTTATTACTGAAAACACTTTTTCATTAGTAAGGACTATCTGTAGCTTAACTAATGAAACATTGTCACCCAAAATTTGCAGATAAACAGCCTGAAACGTTCTTAGGTTTCCTTAGGTCATCTTGGGAGGGCATTAACTCTGGAGCAAGCTACATACTTTAGCTATTTTTGGCAATTCGAGAGTTCCACCAAGGACAATACAAAATATACTGCAACATCGAAACATTCTAGTAGTAGAGGTGATAAAAACACAGGAGTGCTTTCCTGTTTCCCCAGAGTCATTAAGACCATCATGCAAAGCAAACAGAAAGTCCATCAGCTTTCCAGAACTTCTTGATTCTTTCCTCTCCCTTGCAAACAATCTGATCTTTAATCTATTCATCCTCATAACATGGGTGGGCAAATCAAAACAAAGTGAAAGAGTCTACTAGCTGTTTCATTTTGAAAGACTAGCAGTTCCTCCCATAAATCACATGCACTTCAAATGCAGAAATTTCACTACTGTGCCAGAGGAAGAACATTACGTCCTTACCACTGCCATCATTTGACAGAGCAGATTTCAGTATCAGCTGCACATATATTTATGGATGGATGACTAATACCATCAAGTCCTTGAAAAGTGAAGACCTCAAAGTGTCTTACAATGCTAGCACTCTGGGCTTGATCTTACTTTTGAAAAAATTTAAGCAAGATGTGAAATAATTCACCTAAGATCATAAGCAAGTTGGCTGCATAGCTAAGCCTGTGCCCCAGATCAAGGCTTAGTTCCATCCATCACTTTGCTTCTCATTTACTCTTTGATGAAAAACCTGTGGATGTAGTTTTCAGAAACTCTCCACTCTGTTCTAAATCTTGATGTTCAGAAGTGCTAAGAAATTGAGGCACCAAAGAACTTCAAAGAATTGTAGTAGTGGTGGTTTGAAACTCCCCTAGATCTTGTGGTTATGTGTAGAGCTGAGCAACTGTGCTGAGGAACCAGGTAGTTACAGTAACCTGAGTGCTGCAACACAAATAAAAATACTATCCCTGTTGAAACTAAACTGCGTAATTCTCAATGGCGAATGTTGCTTTAAATGATGCTACAACAATGCAATAGGACCCTAGACTTAAGTCATGCATATCTCCAAACAACTGGCAATAAAAACTTAAGTTCACTTTATAATATTAGTTCAATATGTTTAAATTTGATTATTTATTTTTATATGAATAGTTTTATCTTTCTCCCTCCTAAAAAATATTAGGTACCTTAGCAATAAAAAGGCCATTAGTAAATGTACAGCTCAGTTACACTCCAAAGTGCAATACTAAACACATTAATTTAGATAAAGATACACACATTTATATCAGACTGTCATATAAGTCTAAAATAAAATGGGTTTTTCTGTGATGGTATGTATGCTGTAAAGAAGCAGCAAACCTTAAGATACATAGCTATAATCACACCTAAAGAAGTTTAAAATTTATTTCAGTAAATTAATTTAAAACAAAAATATTTATATTCTGCAGGCAAGAGTAGGTTAAACATTTGAAGAACAGGCAAAATTGGAGACAGAAGATGGTCTTAAAATTCTCTGAAGTAATTTATTTCCTGGGAGAAGAAAGATAATTATTTGAGTTGGTGTAACTTTCAGACTTTTCAGTTACATTACTTCTTGGTAAATAAAAATAAAAACAAGGTTCTGATGAAACTCTTTTCTGAAAGAATTCAGACAACCGGAGTTAGAACATTAGAACTCACTTGTAAAACGACTCAAGAGTACTCGCAGTGAAACTCAACCTTTTTTTTCTGTTATCAAAACCCATGACCTATGTTAAACCTACAAAGGCAAGAAACATCTGCAGCACACATCTTGATTTTCAAAGATCCATTAAAAAAAATCTATATAGGAGTTAATGTGTTTTTATTATGTCTGCGCTTGAGTATTTATATCTAAGGGTCAGACATGTGATAGAAAAGTAATGAGACCATGTTGAGAAAAATGAGGTAGTCAACAGGAAAAATCAACCTCATTTATAATAATATTCCTGTGATCAGCAGGTGTATAACTCTCCCAGCTATGGTCATTAACTGCATTCATTTCACACTTAACATCTACATTTGAAAACCATTTGAAAGTAAAATTACCTTCCAATTCAATTTTCAATTTTATTTTATATCTTCAACTTTGATTGACTATTCTCCTCACAATGGTAACTATAGTGAGATTGCAAGCAAATGGCAGCAACTACCCAAGAGTACAGATAAACTCATCTTCTCAGATTACCTATTCACTTTGCTCCTGTATGTATAATAATTTATAACCATTTGTTAATGTTCAATTCAAGGCTTAAAATGAACTTAGAAAAAATGACGCTGGACTGTTAAAGGGATGCTTCATTTATCAGGCTTACTTGTTCTTAAAATGAAAGCATTTTTCTCCTTGTAAATGACTTAAACTGGAAGTTTACCAAACATGAAAGCAGGTATTTCATTGATGTTGCTAAGCAAAGAGCAACTCCACACAATTTATTATTAATGGAAATATCTTTGTACCCTGGTCAAAATCCAGATAGAATCCTCTGCTAAAGCTTAACTATTAGTATGTTAGTATATTAGTACTTAGCAATTGTAGTGCCATTTTCTCCACAAAATTTCAATGCCATGGTTACAGATTCTTAAGTTTCCTTATTCAGGAGCAGTCTTGTACTTCACATATGTTTTATTTTACATGCTACTTGTAAATTGGTCTTGTAGGAGATACTACGTTATTGAACTGGCTGCCTGATCATCTGAAATCCAGAGCACAGTATTCAGTGCTCATAAAAACAGACTTAGTTATGTTGAAAATCAATCAAATCTCTACAAAATAAGTGATCAGAAAGACTGATATGTCACCTAGACCTAGAAAACAGGTTGTGAAGAACCAGCTTTATTTTTATATACTAGAATTTTCTGTTGATAATGTTTTTCTGGATAGAATTAAGGAAAAAACCCACACCAAAGTCCCCTTAAACAGCATCCATAGAAAGGCAGTAAGACAGGTGGCAGGCGCAAAAAGAGAATCATCAAATCTGGTTGCTACAAAAGAAAAAAACTTTCCAAATATGAGTAATTATGAAGAACTGGAGATTCCCAAGCTCTCCCTACAAGATATCAACATATTTGCAATCAATTCTCAAACTGAAAGAATGACCCGGTATTTTCATTGATCAAAGATAATTTGTTGTGAAAGTTTTATGACTCTTAGAACTTCACAGGTTTCAAAAAAATAATCTGGAAGTGGTAATTAATATTCATAACATATATTCTAGAAACTTCTATCAATATTTTAACATCCTCAGTTTTGAAATGAGCTCATCTTTCCTTTACTTTCAAGTATTTAGTAAATTCCATTTTAAGGCAGGGTGGTTTGCTCCTCTGAAGCATGGCCAACTCTGCCAAATGG